TACTCTACTTCAAATAGAAAGGAAATTCTGGGAAGTGATCACCTAGAGACATTGAGATATCACAGGCCTTCCAAGCTGGACAGAAGAGGAGGAAGGAGCATTTGTACCTGAGCTGACAAATTGATAGGGATTCTTAAACATGGCCTATGAGAACACAGAGCTAAGCAATAAGATTGTGAAAGAAATCTAGGGCATCTGCTCTGAAAGCACTCCTGAGTCTGGAAAAATCTAGAATACCCCTTCATAAACCAGAGGTCTAGTTGAACATGTAAGGCCATCTTAAATATACAAAGCAGGTAACTCTGCTCAGAAGGCTGCTGGCTAAATAAAAGCTGTATATAAAAAGACAAAAACAAAACATAGGATGGGCAATGTTAAATGACACCATGATTTTAAACAGAGTTACTGATGGTTAGCTGATGAAATCCATCTGCAAGCAACTAAAGATCTTTTCCCCTACAGTAACAGAAACAAGATGTATTAATTACTTCACAAGTTAGGCAGACACATTATACTATGGCAAGGATTTCGCTAGCAGAAAAACGTTCATTGAAAAATGTAAGTGTGAGCTTTTTGAATTGATGAGGTTATCCTAGAAAAGTCAAGCTTCCCTGTGAAAGGTGAAATGCTCATTCCCTTCATAGCAACTTTATAGCTAAGCCCCTAGGGTTCACTAATTTCCTCACAATGGTAATGCATTGTTCCCCAAACAAGATGATCCTGTGCTTGCATAGGTGGCTCAGGCAAATAATACATCTGGGTTGAAATACATACATCACAATACACACAAAAGTAAGCAGAAGAACTTAATCATCACAGTGTTCTTAACATGCTTGAAGATGTTACTGTCATAGCCACCAAGTAAATGCATAGACAGAAAAGCAGAGAACAAAAGTATTGAGGTCTCTGCAGTTCAGAGCTTTAACTGCTGTTTTGCTTCTGCTCAAAATACCTTGTATATTTGAAAAAGTCAATAGTTTCATAACTAACCTTGGACAAGCTTAATCTTTGACTAGCACAGTCAGCCACGACACAAACTTTTCTGATAACTGCTGGTGTCATTGATCTCCCCTTGGTCAGCTCACTGCAGCCCCACACTCACTGTGCCTGGCTTGCGAGGCCGGTGGGGAGCAGTTAACAGCCCTGCCAAACCTCTCACAGCCGTGGCAGCTTGTGTGATGTGGTTTGGCTGTTCTCACAGGGTTCTTTAGCTTGACATTTGGACCAGCAGAAATAGCACATAAAGATGGCAAATGAAAATATGAACGTCAACAGGTTTGTGGGTTTGTCTTTTAAATAAACAAAATCACCATTTGCCATGTAAGTTTAACAGAATAACAGATTTAGTAATTACCACTCCTTAAAAATAATGATCCAAGAGCCACATCTCATTTTCTTCAAGTAAAAACATCTTTTGGTGGTCTCTAGTTTTGGGCATTTTCTTAACTTTCATGGAAAACATATAGAATTTCCACATATTTCCCATTTATTTGTTTAAGTTTCAAAAAGTCTGTTGTGCAAAGCAGAATTCGGTTAAGGGAAACAAATCAGGCTTGTTTTACTCTTCAGTTAATGGGATGCCACACCTAAGAGGAGTTATATTGAGTGCATCTCTAAAGACTCCACAGGTGTCTAGAGACAATCTGTCTTTGTTCCTCTCTCTCAAAAGAAGCTGCCAGGAACAGGTGTTCTTTCATCTCAAGTCTTTCCTTTACTCATACACACAGATTGGGATCGAGTCACAGCTTCACTGCTCTGTTGCTATGAGAGCCAAACTATATTGGAAGACTGAATAAAATGAGGAAAAGAAAATTTGGCTTGTTAATTTGATATATAAACCTTTGCATTATCATCTTAGTCCTCTGGAGTGTCTGATTTTAGTTTATTATGCTTGCTTATATACAGCGCAAAGCAAAGCATAGTATAGAAAGATGACTAGATAAGAAATATGTCCCGGTTCTAGGAACACCCATACAATTGCAATTTCCCTTTCTTTGGTTAGGAATGCGGTGACATTGAAGATGTACATATATTAGGATTTACATTTACTTTAAACTTGCAGGGTTGTAATACTTTTTCCCAGAGGAATAACTCTTTTCTGGTGTGTGCCAGGAAACATAAGCTTCTGCTACTTGATGAGATCCTTTTCCTTTTATTCAATCAAAAATTATATTGGTATCATAGGAAAGATACTGTGGCTTTCACTTCTGCAATATCTTTCAGACCTGTCATTGGCAAGGAGCAGTGTGACACTTCATAGCCCTGAAAAAGGAACAGTGAATTTGTTCTGACAAGCATACACTATTCCTTTCTCACACAGGCCTTATTTTCCTTGCTGACTCTCCAGATATCCCAGAACGATATTGAATATTATGGACATGCAGAGCACAGCTGTCTACATTCACGGGCGTACTTAATCTAAGTTTTTATTTCTGTTTTCAATTCAACATCATTTCCCTAGGTTCTTTGTACTTTGCAATTACTTGAGAAAAAATGTCTTTAAATTTTCAATTCTGCTCTCAAGTCATCATCTCCACTAAGAAAAAAAAAAAAAAACCACAAAAAACTAAGTTCAAGCTAAGCTGGGGGTCGGTCTCTTTCTCTGGCCAACAACAGACAGAACAAGGGGACAGAGTCTCAAGCCACGCCAAGGGAGATACAGGCTAGAATTAAGGAGGAAGTTTTTTACAGAAGGAGTGGTCAAATACTGGAATCATCTACCCAGGGAGGTGGTGGAGTCACCATCCCTCGATGTGTTTAAAAAAGACTGGATGTGGCACTTGGTGCCATGATCTAGTTGAGGTGTTAGAACATGGGTTGGACTTGATGATCTTAAAGGTCACTTCCAACCTAGAAATTCTGTGATTTTGTGATTCTTTAAATCCTGGTGGTAGGATGATATACAACCTGTCAGGTTATTGTGACAAATGGCTGGTCCCCATGCACCATGACAGGAGCAGGAGGCCCAAGCCTGAGGGGAGCCCCAGCAGCCCCACAAGGCCAACAGAGTTCCCTGTCCCAGCCCCTCCAGGTGCCACAGGAGCCCTGTCAAAGTTGTGCTATTGGGGGATCCACATATGTGAAAGGTAGGTAGGGGAATCTGTGCACGTACAAAGAAGTTGTTCATCCTGATGAGCCAGAGGGGAACAAAGACTCATTGTGCCTGTATGAGTTCTTAGTGGCCCTGTCCATGTTGCTCCAGGTGGTTTTCCATGTCTCCAAGTAGACGTGCCATAAAGTGTGTGCATGTCAGCTTGCTGGCAATGGAACTCATGCTCAGCCCTGCTGCTGGGGGCACCTGGGGCATGGGGCTGTGGCAGTCTCACCTCCACTGGGCTGGCAACCCTTAACACAAACCATGGAACCACAGAATGGGAATTGGAAGGGATCATCTGATCTAACTTCCTTGTTCAAACAGGGCCATCCTAGAGCACATTGCACTGGATTGTGTCCAGATGATTCTTGAATATCTACAGTGTGGGAGACACCACAATCTCTCTGGGTGGCCTTCCTAGTGCATGGTCAACTGCACATTAAACTTCTTCCTCATACTGAGGTGAAAATTCCTGAGCATCAGTTTCTGCCTGTTGCCTCCTGCTATTGCCTGGCACCACCGAGAAAAGCCTGGCTCCACAAATGAAACACATGGTCCATGAGACAGGTGTCAGAAGATCCAAATATGCAATGCAAACTGCTGTTTTAATGACTGGACATATTTTTAATGCTGGAGGATAGATTTCACTTTCTTCCAAGCAAACTGAGAAAGCACGCAGCATCACACTATTTCAAAGCAATCTGAGTTTTTATGACCTTTTTCTACTACTTTTTCACTTAAAAGGCCAAATAGGGGATATTTAAAGTTTGACAAAAATGCAACAGGTGATGATGAAAATGGAGTCACAGTATCATAGAATGGTATGTGTTGGAAGGGACCTCAAAGATTCTTCCGAATGCCTAACCTAAATTTCCGCTCTTTCAGTTTGTACCCATTACTTCTCATCCTATCACTACATGCCCTTGTGAAAAGTCCCTCTCTGACTTCCCTGTTTTTGGCCTTCAGGTGCTGAAAGGTTGTTATGAGGTCTCCATGAAATCTTCTCCAGGCAGAACAGCCCCAGCTCTCTCAGCCCTCTTCATAGCAGAGGTCCTCCCACTCTGATCGACTTCATGGCCTCCTCTGGACTTGCTCCAAAACTTTCATGTCCTTCTTATGTTAGGGCTCCTTCTGAGCTAAGAAGAAGTGATAACACCTCTTTTCCAAATATGCCAGCATTAGGGGAGCGAAGGGACGGGATGTTACACATTATGTGAGCACTGGTGAGGCCACCTCTTGAGTACTGTGTCCAGTTCTCTGCCCCTCCATTCAGGAAGGACATTGAGGTGATGGAGTGGATCCAGATAAGGGGAGTAGAGCTGATGAAGAGTCTGGAGCACAAGTCTTGTGAGGAGCAGCTGAGGGAGCTGGAGTTGTTAAGCCTGGAGAAAAGGAGGCTCAGGGGGGACTTCATCACTCTCTAGAACCACCGAAAAGGAGGCTGTAGCCAGGCAGTGGTCAGCCTCTTCTCCGGGCAACCAGCAACAGGACAAGAGGAAATGGCCTCAAGCTGTGCCAGGGAAGGTTTAGGTTGGACACAGGGAGGAATCTCTTCACAGATGGGGTGATTGGACACTGGAATGGAATGCCCAAGGAGGAGGTGGAGTCACTATTCCTTGAGGTATTTAAGGAAAAACTGGACTAGTGTCATGGTCTATTGGACTCGATCTCAGAGGTCCTTTCCAATCTGACCGACTCTGCGTTTCAAGGCTGCTGTCAGCTGGTGTACAGGGGATGACCGGGACAGCTGTAACCCTTCCCTCACGGCAGGTTGGCCTCCGAGCCACACTCTCCACACGCGGCCGCCCCGTGCCGCAGGGATCCGGCCCCGAGGTTCTCCGCCCCGGCCCGGCCCGGCTCCGCCCCGCGGCCCCGCCGCCACAAAAAGCCGCCGCCGCCTCCTCCCCGCCCCCGAGCAGCGCGGAGCGAAGGCTGAGAGCCGCCGTGCGCCGCCGCCATGGTGTTGAACCCGGTGCTGGGGAAGCTGGTCAGCAAGCGGGTGGTGCTGGCCAGCGCCTCGCCGCGCCGGCAGGAGATCCTCACCAACGTGGTGAGTGCGGCCCGCGGCCGCTGGCCTCGCACGGGCCGGGGGCTGCGGGCAGCGGCGGCCGCCAGCGCCGGCCGGGCCTGCGGGGCCCGACGCCTCCCGTGAGAGCAGTGGGAGGGGAGCGGGGCAATAAAAGAGATATGTCCTTTCTGAAATGCACTGGTGCAGAGCAAAGGAGGCCGTAACCTGTCATTGAGACTGTTCAGCCCATGCGGAGGAACATGTGAGCCTCGTTGGGTGGGCTGGAGGAGGCTTTTGAATAGCACTTGGGAATCACCTATCGAACTTAGCTTGCTTAGTATTACCATTCTTAATTCTCCCGATAAATTGAACTAAAGTGAAGAAATAACTTCAAAATACGGATGTGTGGAGAAGCGCCGAGGTTCAGTCATGCACCAAGCTATTAGAAACACAGCATGCCTGCTGAGTGCGGTAAATGTACAGGTGTAACCTAGAGCAAAAAGTTAGAAGAACAGTTGGGCATTGTTTGGTTAAACCAATCAGAAACTGTCTGGTTTTGATTTTTGCTTATCATGTGTGTAAGGACACATAAAGTGCAGTAAAGCTCCTATAAGAATGTGCACTACTGTTGCATGAGTGAAGTGCTATTCGTGGATTCAGTTTAAAAAATCAAGTAATATAATCCTTTGTTTATGAAGTGTCTAAGTTTATACTGTTAGTTTTTATATGAAAAGAATAATAAAATTACGAATGTGATTAGGTTCTAATAAATATGGGCAAAATCAAATATACACACCAATTTAAGCTTTCTGCTTGTTTTGTTTTAGATTGCTTGTAAAATATGTATGCACTAGACACTGATAGAAGCACTGGGGAGTTTTTTTGTGTGTGTTTGGGGGGGAGGTGTATTAACATGTAAAAAGCAGATGTCAAATTTGCTATTTGCTTAATATGCCTTGGGAGCAGTGTTTAATAATGAGGTCAGATTGAATGCATCACTTTGCTGTGTTACAGGGCCTGCGGTTTGAGGTGGTTCCATCCTGGTTTAAGGAGACACTAGAAAAGTCATCTTTTACAGCCCCTTACCAGTATGCTGTGGAAACAGCAAAACAGAAAGCTCTTGAAGTAGCAAACAGAATGCATTTAGTAAGTTACTAACTATTACTGCAATGAGCTTTTTGTCTTTAGGTGGTGCATGTTACTGGGACTTAATTTGCTTGCACTGCTTAAGTGATCTCTGAGTCCTTTTTCTCCACTGAAGGCAAATAGATATTTTCCTGTCATTTGTGAAAGATGGTGTCTTGAAGTTGCCTAATCAGAAGTCTAATGCCTGCAGTTCAGGCTTTCCACAAAATGAAGTGGCCTTCATGTTTTGTCAGCATCCTACCTACTGTTGTATGAGATGCGTATTCCATATTTTTTTGAACACTGAGGTGTGTGGCTGACCTCATTCCACGTATTTGACTTATTTGTTGACTGTGGAGACAGACTCCACAGAAAAACACTGATGGGATTCCAGTGCTTTGCAGTAGCTTTCACTGAAGGAATGACAAGAATAGCTCAGGAGTTGTGAGTATAGTGGTACTGGATGAAAGCAGAAAAAAAATTACTCTTTCATTGCCCAAAATGTTTTAAAACAGAGTTTGTCTATCTAATTTTAAGAAGGCAGAAATTGATATTATTTCAGATTCTGTTAGGTAAGGCATCCATTTTGTATCGTAAATTTTATCAAAACCAGTGATGCAACTTACACTTTCAGTGGTGTTTGACTTATGCCCTTGGCTGTGATCACTGAACACATAAGGCTCACCAGAGGCTTGCTACATAAGGCCCACATAAGGCTTGCTACCAGAACCTGTTTAAAAGTTGAGCAGATTAAATCTCACAAAATGGACTATAATATTTTCTTAATAATATAGCTCTGAAAGAGAGGGGTGTTTGCTGATCCTATTCTAGCAGCAGAAAAGGAATGTTGAACACTTTAAATTAACAGTGTTGCCAGATGTCACCATTCTGCAAAGCAAATATTGCATGATCTCCAGTGTAAATTGTTACCCAGTTTTCTGTCAACTACCTTCCAGACAATGGTACAGCATAGGAGAATGGATTTTAAACCCAAGCACAGTAAATTACTTACTTTGGGCTTTCATTGCAAAACACTGTGCTGGTGATAATGCTGGTTCAGTGGATTTCAAAATGGTTCTTCATACAGGAATTAGTAGAACTAATTCTAGATATCATTAAGCAATTTAGAGCACATCAAATCTTTGTTTGGAAGAATTGCCTCCCTACAAATATTCTATTATAATGGCCACACAGACCGGCTTCCTGTCATGCTGTGATAAGTAGCAGCAGTATGCCTTATAATATGCAGGTTAACCAAAACTTAGCTATAAGGACAGGTACTGTTTAAAATCAAGGAAGTTTTACAAGGAATTTTTATATATCGCTACCTCTCATATTTCAAAAAGACTAGATTGTGTTCCCTTTTAAGAGAAAAACACAAAGTGTAGCTAAAAAAAGGGGATTTATTTTTCAGTAAAATTTTGCTTGGAGAAATGATCTCAAGGGCTGTATTCTCTGGTCTCCAAGTACTAGGCACTTCTTTAAAGGAATTGTTTGCCACCTTGAAGACCAGAATGACTTTTGAGAATGCACTTCATTTCCTGGATGCTTTTATTCATCAGTAACGGATTTGGGCAAATTTGTGACTTGAGAATGGTGTGCTCAAGCCTCACTTTTATGGTGATATAAACATTTACTATTTTGCAAAAAGTGCAAAAGGAGAAATAGTGTCTTGCTTACAGGTCAGTGTAGAGCCTTACTTCTAAACCAGTAAACTGCTATTTTCTCACCTTATATCTTAAAAAATTTTGTTCTCTTTCCATCTTCTGACAAATGCCTTCTTATGCTTTTGCAGAAGCATATGAGAACACCTGATATTGTCATAGGAGCAGACACTATTGTGGTAAGAAGTCTTTAGTGATTTTGCATTATTTTCATTTATGACAAGTGTAGAAAATACTTGTATCTTTAGATTTAAGTTTGAAAGCTGCCTTCACTGTGAAGTTATACCTGCATTATGATACATCTTTTTGGGATGTGTTGATGTGGCTTTTAGGGCTTTTTTTTCCCAACAAGGTAATTTTTGAACTTTTGAGAGCTAGAAGCCTTGCTGCTGGTTTTGGGGACACTAATACTGCCATAAATATTGCCTTGGATCTCCTAATATGTAGTGGAAATTCTGTTCTCAGGTGGCTTGTCTGTCAGGAAGTCCAGATCATGTGAACAGTTCTGTGCTGTGCCTTGTAGGAGGAGGTCACTTTGTATGTGACATCTTCACAGAGACAGTGAACTGTTAAGGACAGAAAAAGTTGAATTATCCTTTTGTTTGAGAGGTGCAGCCAATGGAGGGTGGAGTATGGCACTGATGTGCTTGACTCTAAATTACCTGTTCTACCAAAGTATTTGTGCTTCTTGCTCTACTCAATAGACTCATGTTTGAAGCCCTGGCTGAAATCATGATATGAACATCATTTCTGACCTCAGTTTTTGAGAAGTGAGAAAAAGCAGCATATTCACGCTGTTTTTCTATTTTAGTCTGTGGATGAGCAGATCCTGGAGAAACCAGTTGATAAGCAAGATGCCTACAGGATGCTATCAAGGTCTGTAGTTTTAAGTAAGATATGAAATTTGAAGACGCAGTTTCTCTCCATCACTTAGATTCTCAAAAGGGTTCCACAGAAGGGATACATGCAAATTTTTGGGGGTTTTGTTTGTTGTAAGTTTAGTAGGTCAATCTCTTAATTAGGGATATGAAAAGCACTTAAATATTTAGCTTTTTAGAACTCCAGGAAAAAAGGCAGACGAGATGATGCATCTTTGCATATATCCAAGGTGTCAAGTGAAAATTTTCACACAGTTTCACCTTACAATTTGGTGTGGAATCTTGTGGGGGACAGAGCATGTGAGATGCTTCTGATCTCATCCAGAAATATCCTGCTTAGTCTTTACAAGATTATTCCTTAAATAGTCTCTTCAAAGATGCACATTCCCTTGCTATTATACATCTGTTGCTTACACAGCAGATAATAAAGTCCTCACAACTAGTTGGCCACAGCGTGGCACTCTGGAGCCACTACAAGAGAGAGCCAGGGGTAAGGTCTCTTCATCTGCACTCTGGCTTGCCATGGGATCTCTGGGGACCAGTCTGGATGAAATGAGAACATATGCTCTAGTTTCCTATTACATGTTTAGTCTGAGTTACATCACCCAGCTATTTATTGCCACCTTTCAGTGAAGATAGCCCTAACAGTAGAATTTATGCCAACTGGCCTTTTCTAATGCATTTGAAATAGTCACTTTTCTGATGTACAGTGAATGAGCTGATACCATGGACTACTCTTATACAAGTGGTATTTTAGAGACTTGAAATGACTGCAGCTTTTGATAGTGTTTTTTATGTGATTTTTTTTTTTGTGGTTTGCCATTATCTTTTCAGCAATATTGAAATAAAATTTGTTTCTTTAGGATGCATGTCAGATCCATTGAGTGATACATTAATGAAATGGTCTGCTTCTCAGGCTGTAGCAATATAATCATGTAGAATATTTCATAAGACTGTTGCTTAATGGACATTTTTTGCCTGACAGGTTAAATGGGAAAGAGCACAGTGTTTTCACAGGAGTGGCTATTATACACTGCCACAGTAAAGGTATGTGTGATTTTATTACAACTCAGTATTTGTATTAAAAACTACTCTCATGATAGCTTGTACAAGTAAAGAAATAGGATGAAAATGTTTCGTATACAGTCTGAACTGGTTTTCTACTCAAGAACTACCTTATCAAAATATAAATTAAAGACTCCCCACAAAATCCAACCTTCTTCCTGTATTCAGTTTTCACACAGAAGGGAAAGCGACAAGACAGTGGAGTTCAGAAGTACTGTCTCTGAAAGCTGTGAGACTAATTGAAAGGCCAGTGTAAGTGTGGAATATTCTAAATTAAATTCAAGTAAGGTACTGTAGACCATGAGACTGCGCTGAATGTGATCCATATCAACTTCATTCTGTGTTGTGCTTAGACCAGTTGAGGCTTAATACCTCAGACTGTTAAGAAGCTGTAGGGAGCAATACTCCAATGTTCCTTATCACATAATGTATAGAGAAAGTGAGTCATTTTTATGAAAACTACCATAAATAGAATTTGAGGAGTGTTTGAAGGGCATTGTCTGATAATTGTGCCAGTAGTCTTTTAGTAGAGCTTTTGCAGACATTTCACTGGACATAGGCTTTCTGTACACAAATTAACAGTTTTTGACTTTTTCTGGAATGGTTGCTCTTAACTCTTGTAAAACGGAATTAAAGTTAGTATTGCAGTACTGCTAATATGCTAGTACAGTAGAGGGAGAGCTGCTGCAAAAGAAATAAAACATGTTTTATTTCTTTTGCCCACAGCAAAGGGCATGTTCCTGTGAGCAACCTAGCAATGTAAATAACACCTTTAACTCTTTACTCTAGGAAGAAGGTTAAGTGCAGCCAGCTGTAGTAGTGATACTGTAACAGCACATCTCATTTGAAGTGTACAAATTTGAACTGCATCACAGTCAGATGAATAGCAATATACCTTTAGTCTGCAGATTCCCCAAGAGATGCAGTCAATAGAACAGTTTTGTGGAATTACTATAAACTCTATTTACAGTTTATAATTACAATGTGCTTTTTAACTAGCTAAAGATGGAATTTTTTTACTAGAATTTGTTATCAATACTGAAAGACGTGGTAATCTGTCATCATATGCACCAATTTTCTTATTTTGTTTGAGCTTCACACTATCACTGTTAGAAATTGGTTGGCATTCTTCCTTCGGTCTGTACTGTAGATATTTCTTACTCTCCTCAAGCATTTCCACGGCTACCAGAACTGTGGTAGCAGGAGATGCTTGGTTTTTATAGAAAAGAGTAGAGAGAGCTAATAATCTGCAATGTGCACACTTATCTCTGCAAGGCTGTTGCCTTTTGAACATGTTTTGGAAAAGCCTCTGTCTGCAGTGACAGCAGGGTCACAGTGTGCCACATGCAGCAGGGTCCATACCCAGGTCTGCAGTACTTTATTGCACCTTCCCTCATCCACTTCCAGCTACAGAAGTCTGAAATAATATTGTCATCTCTTCAGAGATGGTAGGAAGGTGACAGTGATGATTCTTGATGGGACTGCTGGATACCCAAGTCTGAAGTACACGTGCAGCTGCGTGTACCCACTTTTATGACAGCTACATGTTGAACTCTGATATGTTGTTAAGAGTTCTTTGACAACACTCATAAAGTTGAAAGGGTGGCTGTAACCTTCTTTGTACTCAGTGCTGAATGTGTGTGCCAGCATCCATAAATAGCTTTGTGTAAGCATTGGTAATTTAAGAGTATATTCCACACAGGAAGAGCAGTCTGTTATCTCTGAGACAGGACTGCAGAGGTTGAAAATGCAGACTCTTACGGTTTTGGGAAAGTTGAATCCACTGTCCCTGAAGACATACATCTGTGCAATATATTTAATTTTTCTCAAGCAAAATTGTAAAATGATTAAGAAATACAACCTAGATTTTATGCTCTCTGAACTACAATTCCTGTTTCTTTCTGTAGACAATCAGCTAGAGATGGAAGTCACTGATTTCTATGAAGAGACTAAAGTAAAATTTTCTGAGCTGTCTGAAGAGCTCTTATGGGAGTACATTCACAGTGGAGAGCCAATGTAAGTAAGACCCTGATGCCACCACACAACACTTGAGAATAGGCCTTAGGGTACATTGTTAAGCCAGTGTAAAACATCATTCTGTGTTCTGTGAAATTTTGTTCTGTGTGTATGAGAAATGATAGTATGGGTGATGCAAGGGCACTATTCTTTTGTTCTTGTGTAAAGCTGTCATTTCTCCAGTGAAAGTCAGCTACCTTTTTAGAACCCTAATGATTTTGAAAAGTGAAGACTTTAAATACTCTGGATTAAGCAAGCACTTGTGCAATGTACAATTATCTTTCTGTTAGCAGAACCATTCAGGGATCTTCAATGCCCAAGACAATGCATAGTTCATTACAAACAGGTGAAAAGAGGTAGTGTTGGATAATCAGGGCATCATGGAACTGTATTGGGAGAAAGCTAGAACTTGATTCATTTAGTTTATCAAAATCACTACTCTAATGCAAGGAACACCAGCTTAATTTTTATTCATCCTTGTGAAAAGTGAACACCCAGTTTGTGTGTGTTACTGTGTCAAAATTGTCCTTCAGTTTATGCGTTTCTGCTACACTGGTAGTATAGTTACTCATATAACTATCTATAGGCAACATTTACAAAGGCAACATACCAGACAACAGTTATTCCATGGAAGAAATAGGATGAGAATAGAATGCCTAATTACTGCTCTGAAGATGAAGTTCACAAGGGAAAGGAATTTGTCTTCCCTTTGTGTTAGCTGAACCTGCCTGAAGGCATAGTTAGCACTATGGACTGCATATCAGGTGATCTGATGTGAACTTTTGTCCCTGTAGCTTCAATTTTGACCATGTAAGAAATTGTGGTGGTTGTTAAACTCATTTGTGCTATAAAACAATAAAGCCACGCTTTACTGGGGAAAAGAAAGCACTGTGGACTTTGGATATACTTCAATGCTTATGTGTAAATGAGGTGTACTTGGTGAACATGTAAGGTTGGCAGCTTATTGAATAGACTGATTTTTTAATTTGATAATATGGAGAGAATGTTTTGGCAAGACTGCAGCTTGTAATAAATTCCTACATAGGTTTTTGGAAGGTGATGTTTACTATGCTAGTTAGTATGATCTTTAGATTTAGTGAGCCATAAAGTTGCAGTTTGAAGGAGAAATGACCATGGAGTTTTAGGAAGACTGTGAAATTGAAAATTATTTTGGAATATTCAGAGTATTTCCTCTGGATGCAAATATCTTTAGCAGTACTTTGCTGCATCAAAACGGCTCATGAGCAGTGCTGGGTTGTTCTGTTCATTCTCCTGGAAAAGGAGTGTGTCATCAAGGGTTTCTCAAGGACCAAAGGTTCAGAGAATGTATTTTATTATTCCCTGAGGCTGAAGAAAATTGATCTTTGTTTCTATAATCCTTGTTTATATATGTTCCTATTACATTTATATAATAGGAAGCAATTGTTCCAACTTTGCAAAGGAGCTACTAACCACGGTGTCCTATAAATTTTGCAAAGTTCAGTAAGGAGAAGTATCTCACAGCACTGGTTTTTGGTTATTTTTGTTCTCTTCTCCATGTCCACTCATATAGGTTACACAATTCTATGGATTTTTCTAAACCCATAGAAAAACCTATTCTATAGGTTTTTCTAAACAACAAGTGACCATTCCTTTTTTTTTTAATTTACATGGCAAAATGATTTTCTGAAATAATACAAGACTTAATAATCACATGAAAAAAATAAAAGAAAAATGACTAGTTCTTGTTAAGGATTAAATTGAGTTCTTTTTCTATCAAAAAAACATGTACCATATGCAGTAGGGTCCATACTCAGATGTGCAATATTTTATTGCACCTTCCTTCATCCACTTCCAGTTACAGGAGTCTGAAATAATCTTGTCATCTCTTGGGAGGTGACAGGAAGATGACAGTGATGGTTCTTGATGGGACTGAAGAAGAAAATTGGCATATAGTATTTAAGTCAATCACTGGTGACAGAGTAATACTAGAAATACATAGCTGATGTAAAGTATGGGTAAGGAAAGAGGGGAAATTGCTGTCTCAAGGTAGTCTGTGATGAGGCTATAAAAACCCTCAAATTTTGGCTTCAGAAAGATGTTTTGCTTTTTGTTTTATTCCTGTTCCTCTTTCTAAGCAAGGATTTTCTCCTTGCAGGCAGTCTCTTTCCTTTTTTTCTGTATATCTGTAGAAAGAAGGCTGTACCACAGTAATCCTCACTGTTTTGGGTTTGTATAATGAGTAGACTTTGACCCAGCTTTTTGTTTTGTAATCTTTCCCTTATGATCAACTTTATCTGTCACTGCTTACAACTGCTAGCCTGAAAACTGATGTGGTTTTAGTAGCTCTCCTCTGATGGCAGTGAAACTAAAGGACTCTACTGCATTCTGGTAAGGAGGTGATGACTGAGCCTTCAACTCTACAGCTTCACATTTTACTGTGAAGGAATAAAATATAGAATATAAAAGTTCTTTTCAGGATCCAATCCAGAACATTAAGTGTTGGAGAAAAATAAATGTGTAGCCATTTCTGTTAATCTTGCTGGGAGTATGATACTGATGCTTTTGATGGTTGTAATGTTTTTTGCCTACCTGTAAGCATATACCAAAATAACTAACTTCATTGGAAAATGAGAAGACATTTTAGTCATTATAATATTCCTAATGAAGTTGATGTAAATAATAACGTTATAAAGGAAAAAATAATTTAAACAATGACAAAGTTATAAGGTAGTGCTGACAATGCAATGACCTGCTTTCTCAAGCAGTTTGTGTAATTCCATACTACCTTAAGTTAATAGTTCTGAGACTGACTGACTGACCTTTGGTTTCTAAGCTTGCTGATGTAGGTTTTCAGATTCTGCTGTTATGTAGGAAACATACTTTTAACTGCCTTGTTCCTTGTATGGGTCTCCTGCAGCTTATCTGACTTGTACATATTTCCATTCCAGTCTGTGGAATTTGCATAATTACACCTAAAGACAAATTAGATTTCCAGGGTTAGTTTCTGTGCGTGTACATTCCTGTGCCAAATTACCAGTATTACCATGACATCTGAGAGCAGAGTGTTGTGAACCACAACTCTATTCTGTCTCAGATGGTTGCACAAGAGATGGATGGATAGGGCTCAATAGAGTAGTGGATCTTATTTGAATAGGTTGCTCTTTTCCAAGGAAGTCTTGTCTTCCCAATCCTCGTTTGAGGTATTCCTATGACTGAGATCTGCAAGATGCTTTCTGTAATAATTTGAGTTCTAAAAGGTCGTCTTTATTGAGCTCCTTTGGGACCTAAAGGCTTTCCAGCCTCTTGTGGAATTGGGTGAGGGTCATTATGCATCTGGTGACCCAGTGGCAGTGCTGCTCTTGGTGACACTGTTACCTTTTTGGTACCCACGACTTGGTAACCTATGGCAGCACACTGACTGCAGTCACCTGCTGCCTAGGTGACTGTTGCACTTGCACTGTCAGAAGCATCAAGACATTTGGCTCCTCACCCTTAGTAGAAATTCTGATCCTTATGTTTATCTTGTTATTTACAAATTGAAGTGTTGAGCCTACCTGGTAGATTCAGTCTACCTGTAACTTAGGTACACTAGAACTCTAGCCTCTGCAGTTCTGGTGTATTATTAGTGTTCTGTGATATCTCTGCTCTTAACCTTGATTAGATCTTTGTTGGTTTTGCTTTATCTTCCTCAGGGACAAGGCTGGTGGATATGGTATCCAGGCCCTTGGTGGAATGTTAGTTGAGTATGTCCATGGAGACTTCTTGAATGTGGTGGGATTTCCTCTGAATCACTTCTGCAAAAAGCTGGCAGAATTGTACTATCCACCCTCTAAACATAACATACAACATAAAAAGTATGACTCTATCCCTTCTGTGGACACTTTTGAGAACCTCAGCGATGGAGAATCTTCAAATTTCACAGAGCACAAAGTTGCTAGTAAGTTGGACCACAGTGGGATGCATTCCTCAGGAGCTGCTTACACTTCTGAAAACACTTCTGCTGTCAGAACTGGTTTTACAGTACCTTTGGAAAATCAGAATGGAGTGTCACAGAGTGCATCAAAACTTCCATCCAAAATTCTAGAGCTGTTGGATGGTTTTAGAGCTTCAAAGGTAAGGGAAAAGAAAATACTTCAGTATGTAACAGGTATTATGAAATACTTCAGCTGGAGAAGGAATGTACTAATATTAGTAAAAAAGGACCACTGATGTTCTGGAGAATCGTAAGATAGCTGAGATTTCTGGTGCAGTGCAAGCATTGCTAGGTTTGCCTTTTTGTATTTGTTTTTTATGTGTTCTAGGAAATTTCAGTTACCTTTTGGATGATTTTATCCCTTGAGTTGAGAAGAAAGAAAAGTTGCAGATTTTTTTTTACTGATCAGAAGAGCACAACCAAGCTGGAATTACATACTCTTCAAAAAAAACCCATTTAATGTGATTAACATTCCTGACTTAAAACTGTGACAAGAATTGTATATATGATATTTCCTTTGTAACTTTTAAGGCTTTGCATTAGAATTCTGTGGAAGATCTTAATTTTTTATTGCCTTTTCAGAATATGAATTTTTAATAACCTGTTTCATGTTCTGGATGTGTTTAACTGATAATATCCATGCTGTATCTGATGGAGGCATACTCATAGCAGCTCACAAACAAGGTCACATGCTCTGTGTTTCAGCCAGGCCTGATGAGAAATGCATAGCTGGACATTTTAAGTACTTCCAGATTTTCTACATAGTTCCAGTGTGGCAAAGACAATAGTGAAGAAGAGGAAGAAGAAATGAACAGTGATCATTCTAATAGGTCACTGGTCTCCCAAGTTATTTGTGTTTTAGGAAGATGTGGGGAAAAAAGTGCTCAAGTGGCAGTGAAATGCAAACTTGGAGCTAAAGATCCAGCAACTTGGAGGTGAATGGAGGGGGCACACCAGACAGTGAACAATAGTTTTGCTGAAACAGTGGAGAGTTGTGCTCAGCTCTGGAGGAAGACTGTAGTGTAATCATGTGGTTCTGTGGGTGTGCTGCTTGCAGGCATAGAAAGCTGTCCTGAGAGGTTTGGAATAAAGTGGCTTTGAGGGTGCTGCATTTGTGAACTTCTTGTGTACCTATGGGGAGTGACATATTTGAATGGGTGAGATGATGCTTAGCATTTCTTCCATTTAAGTAAAAACAAATATGGATAATCATCAGAGTGTGGCTGTATATTACTTATACTTATCACATTACTTATAGTGATGTGATGCTAAATAGTTTTGTGCAGTGAAAGACAGTGGAAGCTGGAAATAAAAGAAAGAACTTTACTTTCTCACTACTCCTGTGTAAAGTCATAGTGTGAAGTACTGAATCACATGTTGAACTTGTGGGATTTTTTTCCCACTAAATGGATCTTTGTAAAATTAATTACCAGTAGTGATGAATTGCAATCTGACAAAACTCATCATGTTTCCATTTGCACAATAGGTATAAGTATACAAAGCATTTATTTCCAGCAAAACTCTCAAGTTTTTTTCATTTTGATTCTTGGGTGTCACTTCAAGAACTTTATAAAAAGTGAGTAAAGTCTCCCACAGGTGAAGGTGATGCTGCCTATTTTCCTCTGAACCACTCTGTTGCAGAACAGGAGGAGATCAGGGTTAAATACTTGCACATTAAAAAACTGAAGTTTACTGTATTCCAAATTTACATGGTCTGATCTGTACTCATGTCTTTTACATTTTTTTCTTCTTTAATTCCTTTTTTTTTTTTTTTTGGCTGAGAATTACTGAATGGGTTGGTCAGCCAAGTTTTCTGCCTTATCTTCTCACCTTCTTTTTCCTGTTCTAATGGTTTCCAGTTGGTATGAGTCCAAAGACTGGGCAGGTCTCAGAAGCCATCTGGTTGTAAACTAGGTGTAATTGGCTCAGTATTGTGAAAGCCTGAATTATAATAAATCCCAGCAATATGTTCTTATTAAGGTTGTTATGAAATAGAATGAAAAGATGTGAAGATTATAGAATATAAATACATGCAGTAGCAGACCTACCTCTCAAAGTTAATCTTTTTCTCCCTTTGATTTTTATTAAACAGAATGTCAAGGCCCTTCTTTCCTTAATCACCTTTATATTTAAATTTCATTATAGTTGCTTGCAATTGTAAAGTGGATTCTGTGATTGCTGTATTTGCCTCCACTGTTGTGCTCTCCACAAGTTCCTTGATTTTAGGTGTTTTACCTGCTTCAGAATACAGAACCTGTAGAATTGCAAATTAATTTTGAATGGAGAGCTATATATTACTATTTTTAATTAACTTTACTCTCTGGTTTGGTTAGCATATCTTGAAAAAAGTTCAGCTAAGGTTTTCAATTTAAGGCAGCCATTGCTCATGACTTTTTCTTCACCATGAAGCACTAGCTGTTCTTTTGTCCCCATCTGTACACATCCTGGTAAGGTGTGCTTGTAGTACAGTTGTCCTATGAAGTCTTATTCTTTTTGTTCTTAATCTTTTTGAGTTTTTTCCTTAATTTTGATAAAATAAAGACTTGTATTGTAGCAACTGAAGCTGTAGCACTATCTTAGTGGAGACTTTAGAGTTCCTTATGCTTTGGGTCTATCAAATTTAATTTTTCATTATTTAATAATAATTTTTTTAATCAAATTTTGGTATTGGTTCATATGCTTAAGAATGTTCCCTTACGTCAAACAGTCATATAGATGGGGAAGTGCTAAATATATAAATAAAGTGGGTCTTCAGACACAATTTTTAGGCTGCATTCCAGAATACTGTGAGTTTCCTTCTCTCCCAAACACCACTGTTAAAAGTTCTGTTACTTAGCCAAGATACTGAAACCCTCTGAGAAGGAAGGGAGCAATTTTTAGGAGGTTTGTGAAATTGTGTTGCAGTAGTTTAACAGTAGTTGTGTAGAATAATTGTAGGCAAACAATATAATTCTTCTGTTTTCTGATTTCAGTCTTTTAAACACAGCATGATAACAATTTCTTACCTACACATAGGCTCTGTTTGTAGCCTCTAAGCTGAAGATATTTGATCATCTGAAAGATAAAGGTCCAACGAAGGCTGTGGATATTGCAAATTATGTTGGAGCCTCTGTATGTGGAACTGAAAGACTCCTTGATGCATGTGCTTCTCTTGGATTACTGGAGAAAACACCACAAGGTGATTAATTTACCCTCTGTGCAACTGTATATACTAAAAGACAGACAGGACTGGAAGAGATGCTTTTAAGGTCACAGGTTCTGACTTGATATTGTGGGTAACTTGGATTTGGGGCAGAGGGGAATGGATTCCTTTGATTCATTATTAGTAGCTGGAACTGTTTCATGTGGTGGAAGGCTTTATGTAATGAACACATTAAGGTTTCCATATGGGAGACTTGAGATTGTTTTTGCTCTCTGTACATAATACTGACCAGATTTCTAAGAAAAGATTGCATGGACAGTCCCAGGGAACAGTGTAATAGCTCAGATCTGCACTTGAGTCACAGCAACCCCATGCAGCACTACAGGCTGGGGGCATGGTGGCTGGAAAGCTGCCCAGTGGAAAAGGACCTGGTGGTGTTCAAGAGCAGCTGAACATGAGCCAGCAGTGCCCAGGTGCCCAGTGAGCATCCTGGCCTCTGTCAGCAGTGGTGTGGCCAGCAGGAGCAGGGCAGTGACTGTGCCCCTGTGCTCAGCACTGGTGAGGCCACAGCTTGAATCCTGTGCTCAGTTTTGAGCCCCTCATGACAAGAAAGACACTGGGGTGCTGCAGTGTGTCCAGAGAAGGGTAATGGAGCTGATGAAGGGTCTGCAGTCTAGGTCTGGTGAGGAGTGCCTGAGGAAGCTGGGGGTGTTAAACATAAAGCAAAGGAGGGTCAGAAGAGAGCTTATTGTTCTCCACAGCTATGTGTGAGGATGTAGCCAGGTGGGAAATGGTCTCTTTTTACAAGTAACTAACAGCAGAATGAGAGGAAACAGCCTCTAGGTATGCCAGGGGAGATTTAGATTGAATATTAGGAAAAATTTCTTCCCTGAAAGGATGGCCAAGCATTGGAACAGGCTGCCCAGGGAAGTGGCTGCCTCACCATCCCTGGAGGTATTTAAAAGGTGTGTAGATGTGGTACTTGGGAACCTGGTTAAGTGGTGAACTTAACAGTGCTGGGTTAAAGGTTGTACTTGATAACCTTAGAAGGCTTTTCCATTGAAGTGATTCTGTGTTTCTATCTAAAATGATTGTCAAATTCCATTTCCTCCTGCAGCAGTGCCATCAGTCTTCAGCAGAGGATCAGGCTTTTAATGGGGAGAATTCTGCAATCTGTCCCTCTTTGTGGACAACAACTTAAATTTTAGTGCTCCTAACTGGAACAGTCCGTGAATGTGTATGTAAATGAGGGAGTCAGTATTAGCATTAACTTTTTCAATCAACACTATGTGGTTCTAAGTTTGCATGTGTATCATTTACATAGTAAGACTTGAAATAATTAGGTGTAAAGAAAAGAAAATAAAGGAGTCTTTTTAACTCTGTTAGAGGACAAGACAAATGAAAAAGACCCAAAGATAAAATGGAGAAAGCTTAAATTCAGGAAAGAAGCAATCATAATCTAAACAAAAATAGTCAATAATGAACAACTTCTAATACTGTCCCTTGAATATTAGGTATCTAACTGAGGTACTCTGGTTTAAAATAAAAAATAAATCAGTGTGTATCTACATTTTCCAGCATCTAAATTCTTCTTTGAAATAAAGTACTTGCTCCTTTAAAAATAACAAGATTTTCAGAATTACTTTTTGTGCCAAAATTTTAGTAATAGATCATAAGATCAGGATTGCTAGTTATTTATGAAGGAAAACATGCCTTCAGATTTTAAACAAGAGTTGCAAAGTACTGAAACAAAGCTGGTTACAACTGTGTTCTTCCCATAAGGTTACAGTAATACAGACTCAGCAAATACCTACCTGACCTCAGATGGTAAATACTCACTTCATGGCTACATTATCCATTCTAATGACCACCTTTGGCCTCTCTTCACAAACTTGGAGTTTGCTGTCAAAGAAGGGAGCAGGCAGAATCATCGAGCCTTTGGAAAGAAAGCAGATGATCTATTTAAGGTAATATAAACTCTTACTAGTATCAAAACTAGCTGTGAGGAGCCCAGAACTGCTCTAGGGACAAATGGAGATAGAGATTTCTGAAGAAAAATTGTCAGTCTCAGAAATGGTAGAGAAACAATGCAATTCACCAGTCCCAGGCTTCTGTTCCCTTCAACTTTAGGCTGTGAAGTAGTGGAGCAATCACAGAATATATTGGGAGATTTGAGTGCTGACAAAAATTCTCCAGATGAAGTGTTGCCCATCCCACTGACACTCAGAACAACCTCTAGGCCTGATGAATTGACATTTGTGTCCCTTTTATAATACCAGATAGTACCTTACCACACATGTACTCCTTCCATATTGGATGCCAGTCAGTTGATAGTGATGTGCATCCAGTTTAGGCTGTGTTGTGTAGTCAAAGCTGATTCATGTTGATGCAGTAGACAAGGGATCTAATCTCCTTTATGAAGTTCTTTAGTTTTGTATAAGCTTCAATCTGATATCTATTACTGATAAAATTATTATCCTTCTGCTTTCTGTTTCAATCTGTGGTAATCCTTTCCCAATGCTAGCCCAAGTGGATGTGATCAGACTGGAGAATCACTTAGGGGTATAACTAGCCTAACTTGTCATTTACTCATCTGGTGAAGCAGGTTGAGAGGCATAAATATTTGTGTCTGTGTAAGCAGAGAGCTGCTAGTGTGAGCAGGAGAATGTCTTTGACAACACTGCTGGCTTAAATTGTACTTCAGACTACATCCTGAGGTCCTTAATTTGCATTAAACTTCAAGATGGTGATGAAGGCAGTCTCCTGAAGGAGATGTCTGCATCCCTCATGTATTGTCAATGGAACAAAAAAAGGACTTCTGGAGACTTAAGAGCTCTGCCAGCTTCATGTTAGTACTTAAAAAACTGGAGGACAAAAACTCCATTGGGAATCATTCAAAGGGTCTTTAAAGGGAATTAAGATACTTTGCTTTAAGATAGCTGTTGGAGTAGATGTCTAAATTTATGTACAAATTAAGTGGTTTAATTAACCACTGGAGCTTATCCTTTGTTAAATCTGGGTTATCAACTTTGCTTGGGTGATGCTTGTGTCCAATTTGGACCTGAGTTCCATATGTATTCAGGATGGTGTGCCTGAGCAGAATCTATGGGCTGCCTATGGCACTATGCACACCACAGCCTGGAGATACTGCCACTTCATGGTAGTTGCAAAGCCAGCCATAACTGGTGAAATCTGTATAAAGGTGAAAGGTAAAGGGATTTGTGAGTTTGTGTCCTTGAAAAGGTAAAGGCATGAGATTCTGCTACTGAATGCTTGGTTGTTCCCTAATCAAAAAGAAAAAAAACAAAACCAGAATGATCTTTAGCATTTCTGATTTATGGTATGGCCCAATTATCTAGTTATTTTTCCATCATGGGAGAATACATGTTTGAGTGAAATGAAAGCAATTTGTGAGGATATCAAGAAGGAGCGCTTTTTCTTTCATTCTTCTAAATCTGTCCTTTCAAGGTGTCTGTGTGATCAGAATTCTCGAGAGGATGCAAAAATCTGCTTATCACTACAGCAAAGGATTTGGATGAGCAAATAGTCAGTGGCATTTTTAATGGACCTTTTCATTTTGGGAATTCTAATGTTCACCTACTGCCTTGGTTGTACATAGTTTTAATTAACCCTGAAAATAAACCTTAATTATGCTGCTTTTCCTCCTTTTTAGGACTATTATCACAGCCAGGAAGTAAAGCAACGTTTTATGGCTGCCATGCACAGCATTGCTCACCTGACAGCAAGAGATGTGGCTACAGCATTTGATCTTTCACAGTTTAAATCTGCTTGTGATTTAGGAGGTATTGCTTGTAATTGAACTTATATACAATAAAGGGAAAAGCTTGATTTCAGTTCTGCATTTTATTACTTAAAAGACATGTATTTCTTCACTAGAGCTGTAGTAATATTATCTACTGTTTTTTTTCTGATACTGCAATGTCAGGATAAAAGAGCAGTGCAGCTAATTGAAAGCAGAGTTACCTAAATGGTATTTGAATAGCTTAAGACAAGTGAATGTTTGTTTCAATCAGTTACATGGCTCAAGGCTGAAAGTAAGATAGTGGCTCAGGTGATACAGCTTTGAGGTGAGAGTGCCATTTTCAGCAGTGTTGTTGCTCTCCTTAGGCACATCCAGGATCTCCAGAAGTAATGCAAGTAGTGAACCACCACTGCTGGGGTGTCAAACTTGAAACACTGCACTGCTGAAACAAAGATTTTGATTCTTTTCTAATGGATTTGTTTTGTGTATTGTTGTAGTTATTAATATCTAATATGTCCACCAAAATGTTGAAGACCAGTGATGTACCTGAAGAAACTCTGCTTTTTAGCATTCCTTTTTTTTCTAGGAAATCCTGTGCTTGGAGCTGCACAGAGGAAGTGTTATTATATAGGGAAAGATCCACTGAAGGAAGAATAATTTATTTAGTGCTTGAGGAGGTGGACAGTATCTCAGAGGAATTAACCCAGTACTGGTACAACTGTTGCCACTTGTGTAGACTCCAGAACTTCACAATCTTTACTATGCTGGAGAGTGTCAAATTTCATATATCAGTGCTTTGTAAATGCTAAACAGCTAGAAATGTTCTTCTTCAGCAAATAGAAGTATTTGCCTTTTCATTTACATTTTGATACTCCCCAGAAAAACCCTGAGGTACTGATATCAAAGGTCACATTTGCAATTCTGTGTCAGTAAGGAGTCATGCCTGCATTCCACAACCTTTAAAACCTTGCTCTATCAACCAGGAAGTCTTGTTCGTTGTTGAACTGTCTATCTCTGGTTCTGATTGGATGCCTCTGTTTCACAATGTTGTATACAGCCTTGTCTTTAAAAATGTCTGCAAATTCTGGGAGAAAATAATTGAATTGACTTCTTTAAACTCTTAACAGGTTGCACAGGAGCTCTGGCTTATGAATTAGTACAAGTATACCCAAATCTCAAGGTCACAGTATTTGACCTTCCAGAAGTCATTGCAAACACCTCTTACTTTCAGCCTTCAGGACAGCACACTGCTCCAGTAACATTTGTGTCAGGTAAATGTAGCACTTTTTGAAATGTAGCATTTTTCTGGTTTATCTTGTCCTTGAGCACCAACAGGCTCTTTTGCTGCTGCTGCAACCCCAAACATATCTTAGTACAAGGCAGTATAGGTTCACCCAGGCTAAATGGGGACATAGTATTTTTCAAGACTGTGGAGATGAAAAAATGCTTGAAGAATGTGGCTAAGTAGGTATGAATTAGTAAGTTTTTTAATACCACTGGAAGCAAAAGCTACATGTGCTTGTCTGAGGTATTTCATTTCTAGACAAGTTCAAAATGGTGACTACAAAGAACTTTGTCTCCTTCCTTGCTTTATGTTTACTCTCCAGTGTTTTGTTAGAGAATTCTCGCCTATGATCTGCTCTTTAACTACACTTTCCTTATCTGCAAATCAGGGCATACTGTACCTGTTCATTCTTGTTACTTTTGTACTCTGTTGAAGCGCCTTGTTTTTGCAGTATGTACTCTGTGGTTTCTGTAGGAATGTACTAACTGTTTTCCAACAGGTGACTTCTTCAAGGATAATCTTCCAGAAGCAGATCTTTACATCCTTTCACGTGTTCTTCATGACTGGCCTGATGAAAAGATACACGTGCTGTTAAGCAAGATATCAGCTGTTTGCAAACCAGGTATGTTTTATTATCTTGTTAACTTCAAGGTGCATGTTAATGTACCTTTAATGAGCACTGAGTAATGCTTTTCTAGTATGAACTTAGGATATTTTTTTGTTCAGTCATAGTAGCTTTTGCCTGAATGTGTAGGCTTGCATTATGATACCTACTAATAAAAAGAAGGAAACAAACCTGCAAATAAAACTATATATAATAAGCTTTTACTATAGTTGCAGGCTTCACATGCAACTGTATTATATCCCCAGTCTCTGTCATGCCCAGACTTTCTTCCTAAGCCCTGTATCATCAATTAATTAAGCATGTGCTTATTTCTATACATAAAATTAGCCTAACTGAAGTTCCTTTGGGTAAATCAAGTAGCAGCAGTTTGTTTTGCTGTTGTTTTGCTATCTCAGTAGTGTCCAGAATATAGTAAACTGGCTGAAGTTCAGTACTACTTTATGCACACATACCCTGAGAAATATGCAGCCTTTTTTACTTTCTACTGCATTTGAATCATAGAATCATCAGAGTATCTCAAGTTGGAAGTGACCCATAAGGATTATCAAATTGAACTCCTTGCTTCTTGAAGGCTTAACTAAAACTAGTTCATATGACTAAGAACGTCATCCAGATGGTCCTTGAACTCCAGCAGGTTTGGTGCTGTGACCACTTCTCTAGGGAGCCTGTTTAAGTGCCTGCCACCCTCTGGGTGAAAAATCTTTTCCAAGTGTCCAGTCTGAACTTTCCCTGATGCTTCATTGCATTTCCTTGTGTGCTGTGACTGGTTCACCAGAGAGAGATCAGCACCTTCCCCTCTATTGCTCCCTTTGAGGAAGCTGTACATGGTGATGAAGTCACACTTCAGCCCTCTGTTCTCCAGTCTGAACAGATCAGGGGACCTCAGCTGCACCTCATGAATCTTGGTCTCGCGGCCCTTCACCATCGTTGTCACATACACTGAGGCGCCCAAAATTACACACAGAATGAAAGAATATGCTGGGTTGAAAGGGGCCCATCAGGATCCTCAAGTCCAACCTCTAGCCCTGTGCAGGATGCCCCAGAGGTCACACCATGTGCCTGAGAACATTGCCCAAACACCCCTTGAACTCAGGCAGTCTTAGTGCTGTGATCACTTTCTGGGGAGCCTGTTCCAGTGCCCAGCCATCCTCTGGGTGAAAACCCTTTTCCTGATACCCAAACTAAACCTCCCCTGACCCAGCTTCATGCTGTTTCCTTGAGTCGTGTCACTGATCACAAGAGTGAAAAGATCAGTACTTGCCCTCCATTACCCCTTGTGAGGATGTTGAGGACCACAATTAGGTCTTCCATCAATCTACTCCAGGCTGAGCAAAGCAAGTGACCTCAGCTGCTCCTTATAAGGCTTGCCCTTGAGATCCTTCACCATCTTTGTGGCCCTCCTTTGGATGGTCTCTAATAGCCTAATATCTATATATGTGTGTATATATATATGTATATATATATATACACATATATATATGTTTTATATTGTGGTGCCCAAAACTGCACACAGTACTCAGGGCAAGGCTGTAGCAGCACAGAGTAGAGTGAGACAATCACCTGTTTAGTGATCATCTGACTAAATCACAGAATTTAGTGGTCCTGTGCTTGGATGCACCCCAGAACATGGCTGTCCCTTTAGACTGCCAAGGCACAGTGCTGACTCATATTCAGGCAGTATTACAGATCAAAGAAGACAAAAAGCAGAAAAGCCTGATTCCTTAATGCAAGTGTAGGTCTGACATTTGTTTCAGAGGAGAGGATGCAAAATAAGATCTATCCCATAAACTATAATCCTGTTTATAAATTATGAAAGAAAATTTTGGGTGACTGCCTTTATCTTATGCAAAGTTTGCCTTATGACAGATCCTTACAGGAGTTTGGTTCAAATGAAAGCAAGGCTGAGTTTAAGAGCATAGGCAGGAAGTGATCTGAACTTCTGGTGACAGTGCTCTAAACTCTCCCTTCTTTTAACAATTAAATGGTTGCTTCCAGGAAGAGGTAGCTGAAAGTAAATTTTCACTGATTTCCACTGAAGACCATTTAAAAAAATCAATCTGAGGGAACCTCTGTCTCTGAAAAAGCACGTTAAAGTTGAACTTACACAGAACCACTTTTGGTTGTTTTGGAAATGCAGGAAGTGCCTTGCTAGTGGCAGAAACTGTGCTTGATGAACAGAAGACGCACCCTTCAGTAGCTGTGCTGCAATCCCTCAGTATGACTGAAGGCAAGCAGAGAAGCAGCTCAGAATATAAACAGCTACTGGAGAAATACGGATTCACAGATGTACAAATTAAGATCACAGGAAACTTATTAGATGCTGTTCTGTGCTTCAAGAAGAATCTGTCACTGTAGTGTGCCCACAACCAATCTGGGATGCTGAATTTTCTTCCCTTGTGCATTATACCCATCATCAACCAACTCGTTTTGGCAGTTGAGGATCATTTTGGCCCTTTGTCTGAAGCACAGCTGTTACAGGCCCTGGATACAAGCTGGAGTGCAGCTTCTGCTGGAGTGAATTCTGTGCATTTTAAAAAGTGTCTGGAGTAGGCTGAAACACCTGCATGTGAAATACCTTCATGTCCAGTTCTTCTGTATACTGTATTAAGCTTAGACTTGGCATAGCTGTGTATAGCATGTCAGGTTAAAACTGCAAGCTTGTGCTGAGCTACATCAATATATTAGTTTTCTTGGGCCATAAAATTAAAAATTAAAGAGAGTTCTCCCTCTGCAGTGTATTCAGTGGTTACCGCTAATTTTTATCAGAAATAAGAAAAATTAAAATTGTACCATCTGCCTGAATTTGGGGATGATAGTCCTCTTTTCCACTGCTGTGTGAGACTTTGCTCAAAAACATCTCATATATAGTCTTTTAAAGTACTTCTTCTACAAGCAAAAGTGAAAACAGAACAAACCTCAAACATGCTACTACAATAGCTGTAGGGTCACAGAGGAACTTCAGCAGCCTCTGGCCTCCAGCCACACTATGTACCTGCACAGGCTGCAGCTGAGAGCTGTTCATGTTTCATGCTGCCACTTCTGGGGTTTTCTGAATATGGTTGAATAGCCATATTTGCTTTCTGTCTCATTAATTGAGATGAGTTTTAGGATTTATGTATAAAACCTTGTATGACAATTAAGAAAAAATAAAAGTTTCTTCATGCTTCAATCTTTAATTGGAGAACTGCATACTGTATCCCATCTCTTCAAGTAATTTGTCACAAATGTCACCTCTGCTAGTGTTTATTTCTTTCCTGATACTTCATTGATTTTTATTTTTTCTTTTCAAAGTGTAATGGAAGCCTTCCTGGAAACTGAAGTTACACTTTCAAACTAGCTTTCTTTCTATCAGTTGTGAGGTTTTTGCCTGTTGCTTGTACATCAGTAGTCCCAATAAACCAGTGTGCAAGAGGCTGTGCCAGTACTGAATTACCAACCTCAGCAACTTAGAGAGAGTTAATGAGGAAGGTTAAGTCATCTGCCCGGATGTTAGTTAATCAGGAGTTACTTTGCTCCTTGGCCAATGGGTAAAGAGAAAGTGCCACAGTGGCTGACCTCATTAGGAGAAACAGGCTTCCTACAGAGCATTTCAGGTGTACAAAATCAGGGAAATGTCAGACTTTGCCACATTGGGGTTTTTAATTCTTAGCAGAAGGTTTCTATGAATGGGATTTTGACTGATCTTATCTCTACAGACATTTAAAATAGATAAGGCTGAATATTCAAATGAATAAATTTAAAATGTTTCTTTTCCACAATGACATGAAGCTTGCTTTCAGCTTAACAGGTTTGTATGTTGAGAGAGACTCATTCTGACAATCAGATGTGTCTCATCTCATAGTTACTCATGAAGTTCATAATGCTGTTCCTTAAGCTGCTTTAAGCTGTTTGAGTCAGAAACAGTCAAATCCTAACATTGGCACACCTGTAACTGCTACAGACTTTAAAACTGTGCCCCTAAGTACTATGTCTCTGACTGTAAAATTAGAATAGAATGTTTGGCTACCACCCAGCCTTCAATTACTCTGTGATTAATGCACAGCACTAAGCATTATTCCCTTGGGCATGGTGTCTGTGGTCATGTACCACAGCTTTGCACTCTCAGGATAATTAAGTGTTGGAGCAGATGATCCAGGGAGGTTGTGGAATCTCTGTCCTTGGAGGCTTCCATGTGTGAAGCCAGTCCTGAAGAAGCTGAGCTGATTGCAGAGCTGCCCTGCTCTGAGTGTGAGGCTGGACTAGAGATCTCCTGTGGTCTGTTTCAGGCTCAGGTGCTCTACAATCATGTGATGCAGCCCAGTCACCTGAGGAATTATAAGCTTATCTTACTAATACACAAATTAAGTTTTTCAGCTCCTCTGAATATCTTTTGCTGACTGGTAGAAGGAGTGAATTTAATAGTCTAACACTGAAAAGATTCTAAGCAATGTACATAACTGAGGAAATTTTTCTTGACATGAAGAATGAAGGAGGTTAAGTTTTAAAATTTTTTGATGATTATTGAATGTCTGAGCTGTACAAGTTGGAATGGTTCTGAGGAGATTGTCTTAAAGGTCAGAAAGGTATGAATGTTATGCTGCACTTCATAATAAAATCACTCTGAGCTTCTGCTATTTTGATCTCAGTAGGTATCAGGCCAAAAGGTAAGTGTGTATCGCAATGCTTTTGTTTGTAGCCCTCTCTTGGCTTCCCTTTCCCCTCACAGGTCTGAATATGGAGAAGAAGACTGTAAATCAGATCATTTAAGTTCTGCTTTCATCTTTAGGTCAGTTCCACCACAAAGAATTCAGTTTCTACAGAAATAATGTAGAGAATGTATTGAAGGGAAACACCGACTTCTCCTCTGCTTCTGTAATGCTTGCCATCCACTCTTCTCTCTGCTTGGCATCATTTCAACATGAATGTGAAGCAGCAGTAAATCCCAAAGAGATGCAACTCTATTCCTGTCTTACTGTTTTCTATAGTCCTCATGCCAAGTCTACAGAAGTCATCCCCTTTTCCCCTGAAAACAGACGTGACTTGACTTGAGAGTGTTTGATCACTCCATGCTGAGAAAGGGAATTTCCTGGGGTTTGTGAGAAGAGTGGATTATTCCTTTAATAGTGGATTAGTCATTTAATAGGAGAGAAAATCCATAAATGATGAAGGAATTCACCCAGGTCTTGTAGTTTGCACCCTTCTATATGGCAGCAGACATTTTCTTGCCTGATAATGGATTAGAACTGTTGCATGTGTTTGTTTTTAAATTAGGCTGTGCAGTTTTGCTGGCTGAAAGGGTGTTGGATGATGAAAAGAAGAACAGGAGCACAGCTCTGCTGCAGTCTTTGAACATGCTTGTGCAGACAGAGGGAAAGGAGAGAAGTGGCTCTGAATATCAAGCTTTGCTGGAACAACATGGATTCAAAAATGTCAAAATCAGAATAACAGGAAATTTGTTAGATGTCATTCTCTGTGTTAAGACTTAGAAAAAAATGTAGCCTGGATGTCTTATACTTGTGTTTGATGTTTTGTAATTATCCACATACATTCTCAACTTCCCATCAATACCATAAAAAAGAAACGTATTAAGAAATGCCATCTTTGTGGTACTACTTTTAAAAAATTTATTACATTTAGTTTAGACTTCAACAGAATGCTACCAGGAGATTCTGTCGCTACACAACACGTGTAGGACACAAATGGTGTCATCAGCCCAAGGGCAGTATTCACACTGCTGAGAAGTCACTTTCTTCATACTTGGTGCAATTAGAATAGCGGAGTTTTTAGACCAGCACACATTGCTTTGACCCTGTTCCAGGAGGTTAATATTGGTATGATTTTAATGATCCATCACCATCCACTTTAGTATCATTTTATATTGCACCCTCTACTGTAAATAAACACACTCTAATCAACTCTGGAAACTGCTACTGCAATGGTGTAAGATTGGAAACAAGAACTGGAGCAGCAGCTTCCTGAGAGAGTCAAGACAGACTGCTCTGCTTTGAGAGAGGCTTCCAAAAAAAGGCAGTTATATAAAAGCACAAGTTTCCTCTGTGATTCTAATTTGATATTAAATCTGAGGGAACCAAGTTTGTTTCAAGAACATCATCCTACACCTTTTTAGTCCTTCTTAATTTGTGAGTTCTTATAAAAGTGGATAGCAGAATATGAGATGAGGGAAAAAAAGGTGAAGAAACAGAAGAAAAAGCATGGTGATGGAGAAAAAAGGATTTCCCCCAGTCATGTGCAGGTGAGCTCCCAAGCTGAACAGAACATGACAACTACAGACCGAACAAGTTCCCCATTACAAATTATGTGCCTTTTACCTTCATTTTTCACACTGATGATACTCGAGAGTCTTAGAATATGAAGTTCTTTTTAAATCAATAGAAAATTTTATCGTGAACAAAATCTCAGTCTTGGAGACAAGTATTGTGCTAAGAGAGTATTAACATTCAGTTATGAGCTTTTTTAAAAGGAAAAATTACCACACTGTGTGTGCCTCCCTGAATGAGTGAATGTACCACAGCATTTCATAAATTATGTTCAGAATATGGTCTTCTAACACCCTATGTGCATAAACCCCTGTGAGCACAGGAGTCACTTCAGTCTGTGTGTATTATGCTTCAGAAGAGCACACAGTTTACTTTTGATCTTCTGGTAAGCAAAAAAAAGTATAGTGACATATCTTGTACTAGAGCAGAGACAAAGGCTATGCCTGGCACCTTTTCTCACAACATGCCATCTTGAGAGACATGCTCATTTTGAAATCCTGCAAAGTACATACATGTGTAAGCAGTGGTTACTGGCACCTCAGCTACTGCAGCTTTGTGGTTCACCAGTCATCTGTTTAAAAAAAAGGTTTGGCCTTATTGACTTTGGTTTGGAACACCCACAAAAAGTGAAAGCAAGTGATGTGAAATAATGCCCTCCAGCTAGAACAATTTCAACACATTTTAGAAAGAATTCATATAATTTCAGACAGAAGTTAGATAGGTTCAAAATATCAATTTCAGCATAGAGTAAAATTAGCAAAGTTAGTGATGGAAACCAGGCCTGTCTTGGTAGGGCCTGGGTCCCTGCCATGAGTGCTTGCTGTGACAGCCTGCAGGGGAGGTTTTCACAACATCTAACTTTGAGTGCCCATACAAGAAGCTGGAACCACCCTGTCCTATTGTTCCTCTATTGTCCCACAGGAAACGGCAGCTAAGTCCATTGTCTTGGATCAGCTCAGTGACATACAGAAAAGCCCAGTGACCCCAGTGACGTGATCCTTGGCACTGGCAGTGCTAAGGAGGAGGTGGGAACAGATTTTGGGAACAAAGATATGCCATGGATCAGCATTACCCAGAGTGTGGTGAGCGTGGAACAAAACTGACAGTGCCTGAAATCTGCTGCCCTTCACCTGACACCTGCTGCTGCCCCACGGGGACTCCATACAGAAAGCTGTGTCTCCCTCCTGGACTGGCTTCCAGCAGAAAGATGCTGCAGAAAGAGCCTCCAGTTCACTTGCTTGTGCTGCTCATTGACTGCAGCCTGGGCCCACAGACCCACACCCCAAAGCCAGTGCTCCAGCAGCTCACACTCAGCTTCACAGAGTCAGAATCACAGAATCACTTATGTAGGAAAAGAAATCTCAGATCATCAAGTACAACCTCTGACCCAAAACCAGGTCAGCAGATCATGGCACCGAGTGCCACATCTACTCTTTCCTTAGGTACACCAAGGGACTTTGACTACACCACTTCCCTGGACAGTCCATTCCATTGTCTCACCACTCCTGTGAAAAAATTCCTCCTAACATTCAACCTAACCCTCCCCTGGCACAGCTTAAGATTGTTTCCTCTTCTGTTGCTGGTTGCCTGGGAGAAGAGGCCAACTCTCACCTGGCTACAGCCTCCTTTTGGGTGGTTCTAGAGAGCAATAAGGTCACCCCTGAGCCTTCTTTTCTCCAGGCTAACCAGCCCCAGCTCCCTCAGTCGCTTCTCACAGGTTCTTCTGTGCTTCAGACCCTTCACCAGCTCTATTGCCCTATCTGGATCCGCTCCAACACCTCAATGTCCTTCCTGAATTAAAGAGCTCAGAACTGGGCACAGTACTCGAGGAGTGGCTTCAGCAGTGCTGAGAGCAGGGGCAGGATTACTGCCCTGCTCCTCTTAGCCAGGATGCCACTGACTTTCTTGGCCTCCTGGGCACACACTGGCACATTTTCCGATGCTGTCACCAGCACCCCCGTCCCTTTTACGCGGGGCAGTTTTCCAGCCAGTCGGCCACGGGGTTGTTGTCACCCAAGTGCATTTGGCATTTGCTCTTGTAGAACCTCATACAAGTAGCGCCCATCGGACCAGCCCGTCCAGGCCTCTCTGCAGAGCCTGCGTGCCGGGCGGTACGGGGGCTGTGCAGGCGGCTGCGGGCGCTACTGGCAGCGGCACAAAGCGATCGCGGAGAGCGCTTGGGAAGGCGGCCGTAGTGGTGTGGGCAGCGGCGGACCCGCAGGCTGCCCCGCAGGGGCCAGGCCGGGCCGGTGGCGGGGCCGGGTCGGTAGCGGTGACGGTGGCGGGGCGGAGGTGGTAGCGGGCCAAGCCGGCCCGGGTGACGCGGCGCTGCGACACTGGCGCCGCAGCGGGGCGGAGGGCGAGGGGAGGGGCGGGGCCCTTTCGTCGCAAGCCCCGCCCCCTGGGCGGGCTGGCCAATGGGGCGGGGGGGCGTGTCCGGCGCGGCCCGGCATTAAGCCCATGCGCGGGACCGCTCCCGCCCTTTCGGCTTGAGCGGCAGCAGCGTTTACCTCCCGGCGGCTCCGGCGCGGCGCGAACATGGCGGACCAGGCCATCTCCTTCCTCAAGGACTTTCTGGCGGGCGGCGTCGCCGCCGCCATCAGCAAGACGGCGGTGGCGCCCATCGAGCGGGTCAAGCTCTTGCTCCAGGTCAGCGGCGTCGGCGAGAACGGGTGGCGTGGGCACGACCCTCTCTGTCCCCGCGGGCGCCGGGCCGGGCGAGGACAGAGGGACGGGCGGGGGCGGGGGCCGCGGCCAGCGGGGACAAAGGGCGCGAGCCAGGCGGCGGCGGCCGGCGGGAAGGTCACGTGAGCGACGGCGGGGAAGCCGAAGCCGGTTCCGCCATGCGGGGAGGGGAGGGAGGGCCGGGCCGGGCCGAGGGGGGCGGCCGCCGCTGGTGTCACTTCCTGCCGCCCCCACTGCCGGCGCCGAGGGCACGGCAGGGAGGGGAGGGCGGCCGCCCTCCGCCGCCATTTTGGCGGCCTTCACGTGATGCGCGCCCGGGCTGCGATTGGGCCGCGGGCGGGGCGGAGCCGGGGCGCGGCCGGCGCGCGCGGCCCGGCGTGACCCGGTGGCGCCCCAAGGTGACTCGAGTGACCTTCGCACCGGCCCGGCTCTGGCCACGGGGCTGGCCGCTCCTCACTCACTCTCAGCCCCTGTACCTCGGGCTGGCAGCTCTGTCGCCTAACGCGGCTGTCTCAGGCGATTCCCACCAAGGCCCGTCTTTGTCAGTAAAGGCTCGCACCTCTGCATATGCTCGATGTATTTGTCTTGCCCTTGCATCTCACAGAGTCAGTTTGGTAAAGACCTCAGGGAGATCATGGAGCCCAGCCTAATGCCACGTAGTCCATTTTAAAGTAGACTGTGGCACTAAGTGCCATGTCCAGTCTTAAACATCTCCAGGGATGGTTGCTTCACCAGTCCCTAGGCAGTCCATTCCGAAGTCCAATCACCTTTTGTCTGAAGAAATTCCTCCCCTAGTTCCCCCTAAACCTTTCTTGGCACAGCTTGAGGCTGTATTCTCTTGTCCTATCGCTAGTTGCCTGGGAGAAGAGGCTGGCCTCCACCTTGCTGCAGTCTCCTTTCAGGAAGTCGTAGAGGAATTGCTTGCGGTTTTCTATTTTTGATTTGCCAAGTCCTGATTTCTGAGAAAGCTTGGAAGCAATTTTAAGTCTTTTTCTTTAAAATAACAACAATGGCCCCTCAGAATCAACAACTTTGTTTGATAGTGGTGGCAGGTTTAAGCCCAGCTGCAGCCCAAACCTGTCAGGACAAGTGATCAATATCTGTGTTTTTATTTGCAGGTGCAACATGCAAGCAAACAGATTGCTGCTGATAAGCAGTACAAGGGTATCATCGATTGTGTAGTGCGTATTCCAAAGGAACAAGGAGTGCTGTCCTTCTGGCGAGGAAACCTGGCAAACGTCATCAGATACTTCCCAACTCAAGCTCTTAATTTTGCCTTCAAGGATAAGTATAAGCAGGTGTTTTTGGGAGGTGTAGACAAGCACACTCAGTTCTGGAGGTATTTTGCTGGTAACCTGGCATCTGGTGGTGCAGCTGGAGCCACTTCCCTCTGCTTTGTCTACCCCCTGGATTTTGCAAGAACCCGTCTGGCTGCTGATGTCGGAAAAGCTGGCGCAGACAGAGAATTCTCTGGTCTCGGGGACTGTCTAGTCAAAATCACCAAGTCTGATGGTGTGCGTGGCTTGTACCAAGGGTTCAATGTCTCTGTCCAAGGCATCATCATCTATAGAGCTGCCTACTTTGGGATCTATGATACAGCAAAAGGTAATACTTCAGAGGGGATCTGGAAAGCCTGTTTTTAGAATTGTATTGTCTGGTTTTGGATATTTGAAGGTGAAGGGGGATATCGGTGCTACATCTGTGACACTGCTGTATACAAGGGAAAACTTGTGTTAATCACAGCAGCCTACCTGCAAGTACTGGTTTTGTACTTCAAGCAGTTGCTCCTAAGGCCAGGAGAGTATGTTGCTAACCAGACACTATTAGAATAATTTCTTTTTTGTTCAGTGCATACCGAAGTTACACTGGACCAGTCCAAGTGTGTGTAGCTGAATGGGATTGGACAGTGGTTTTGCAAAGTAATTTTTAAGCTTGACATTTGGGGAAATAAGCCATTGATGCTAGTTTGTAATGCAATGTTATCCACAGGGACAGTGACTTAATATAGTGATGGTTCTTTACTAAAAGCATAGCGAATAGTCAAGTTTTCTCATGCCAGTCTAAAAAGAATGCTTGTGCTTAAATTGTAACCTACTGTGATTGCTGAGAAGAAAGCCTTGTAAATATGGCTTCAGTATGTTCAAAGTTTGTGAAATGCTCTGCTGCAGTTTTATTTAGAGTATGGGTTCTACAGTGTTTTATACTAGTTTGTCTAGTAAAATAGCTGTCATGCAGGGAGTGAACCAGAGGAGGATGTGCAAGGTGAAAAGCTAATTGCTGTTTTTGTTTTACTGCAGGCATGCTCCCAGACCCCAGGAATACTCACATTGTTATCAGCTGGATGATTGCCCAGACAGTGACTGCTGTGGCTGGCGTGGTCTCCTATCCTTTCGACACAGTGCGGCGTCGCATGATGATGCAGTCAGGACGCAAAGGAGGTAGGCTGCAAATCCACACAGCTGTCAATGCTTTGTAAAACAGCATTAACAATGGAGTTGTTTTTTTACTAGTAGCCATCCTGAGTTACAGTTCGTTGTTCCATAAATCTGGCTTATTATATTGTACTCAAATGAGGAAATGCAGTAAGGTTCAACCTGAGATTATCAGGATTTATGCTGAGGATTTTTCATTATAGAACATGAAATTAAAAAAAATGGACTACCTGTTTGCATTGTTCGATTAAACAAAGATATTAAAAAGGAGGCATAGTAGTTTTAGTAATTATTGTGTTGCATTTTTCAGTTGTGGTTTGGGACATCACAAAGCAGTTTAGTGAAACAAAGGGCAGATATTAAAATTACCTGAGATGAAATAGGGATTAAGAATAACTCTTTGCTCTTTTCCTGCAGCTGATATCATGTACTCTGGAACAATTGACTGCTGGCGGAAGATTGCAAGGGATGAAGGAGGAAAGGCCTTCTTCAAGGGTGCATGGTCTAATGTTCTCAGAGGCATGGGGGGTGCTTTCGTGCTTGTGCTGTACGATGAATTCAAGAAAGTAATTTAAACAGCCTAAATAGAATTGGAAATCAAGTTGAGCAGATCATGTAGAGTAACTACCATTATGGACCATTGACCTTCAAGAAATTCCTGTGAGTCTTATTTATCGGAGCCAGATGATACTTGTAGATGGGGCTAGAAACTGACATAGAGGGCTGATCCACTTCTCTGTAACACGTGTGAAAACACTGAATCTGGCAATTCAGTGTGACAGCTTTTCTTTACAGCAGTAAGGAATGAGTGGCGTTGGTTCTGGGTCCAAAGTTGTTAGGTCCAATTTAGGCAGAAAAATTATCATTTGCCTGTGGATCAGCCTTCAGTTTCAAGTCCTATCTTATAGGACCATAAAATTGTATTTGAAAGCGTTTGCTAACAAATCGTGTTTTTTTCCACTTGTACTGAAGCACTATGTACCATTTTGCACAGCTGAACATCTAGCAACTTTGTTCTTAAATTGGGGCATTCTGCTGTAAAACAATAAACATACTTACTCGGTCTGTGTTGAAATTATTACATAAAAGCTTTGGAAAAGCCTCTTGTATTTCAAAACTTGTTTCAGATTATGGGTCCTCTGATACCTTTACACAAATAAGCTTTTTAAAAAAATAATTAAATGTGAGATCTTTAGAGAGGAGGGGTGGGCAAGCATGGGTTATACTAATAGAAACCACTCCCATTCTTTGTGCCTGATAGTGTATGATGGGCTGCTGCAAGTGGCTTTTTGCATGATTCTTAAAAATTTATTTACAACTAATATGATTTAAAATTATGGGGTTGGGGTTCAGTTGTAGTGCTAGGAAAACCCAAAGTACCAAGGACTGGTGAAAAGTAATGCTCTTGCCCTTGGTAAAACAGCCTAAAATAAATAATTTTTTGTCAAATCAGTATGAAAAGCATCATGGCATTCATGCAAAAACCCAGGAACCCAGTAAATGCCTTCAACTTCTGAGTGACCTGTGTATTGTATTGTTGCTGCAGGTTGGAAATATTGATAGTGCCCTTCAGGCACTGTTTGGCCTCATCTGTAGCAGTGGTCAGTGGCTCCGTGGAAGCTCGAATTTAATCTGAAATGAGTTGCAGTCCAATAGGTGAAGTTGAAGGGTTGTGGGGGAGGGAATGTGTGTGCTTCTATGTAGCTGTAAAATAATAGATCAGAGTAGGTCAGCCTTCAGTATTAACTGATTGATGTTTAGGGATGGTCAGAAGACCAGATTGACTAATTTCTCATAACTGCTCTTTGAGATAATGTAATACCTATGTGCCGTTCTTCATATGTATATAATCTTTTGTACTTTGTAATCTGCAAAGGCATCCTAGAGGGACCAGTAGAGGAAAACAAGGTGTTAATTTTCATGTTTAAGGAGCTCTCTCTATATCTTGAGAAAGAAAAAGTGTCACTGTATGACTTATTGAAGGCTGACTGAGCTGTCTTGAGTTCTTCTGTGTGCCTTCTGAGATTGCTATTCAAGATGGAGTATTTAACTTACCTGCTTGGCTTTGGCTGGTTATTACCTTCCTCCTGAGTGTACTTTTTCCTTTCACTGTTGCACAAGCACTGCTTTCAACATCTGTATGTGAATGTAAGGACATTACACAGCTACTTTGTACACAGGCTACTGGCAGACTTCGTGTACCTACTGCAAGTGGTTCTTGCATCCTGTGTGGCAGCAGCAGCTCCCTCTTGTGCAGGCAGGGCATTTGATGTTAACCCTGCCAGTCAGTTCTCTGAGGGAGCAGGGGAAGACATGTTGTCTATAAAAAAGCAGTAATCAGGTTTCTTTCTGTATCAGTGCCTTGCAAGGGCAGAGATGATTATGGGATACCTCCCTGTGAGCAAGCCCAAGCTTTGTGAGAGAAGCCAAATGTGGTTTCTTCAGCAGCCCCTGACAGGGAAGGACTTTCAAACCCAATCTCTCCTTCAGAACAAGGCTTAACCAAAAGAAATAGGAAAAGAAACAAAACCTCCCAAATTAGCTCTAAACCAGGACACAGAGTTAAACTCGAACTGCAATTTCCTTATGCTGTACATTGAATATTAACTAATTTGTGGTGTTCAGATTTTTTTTATTTTTAATATATGGCTTCCCTTAGTCATGCAGCAGCAATTTCCAGTGTGTGATGCAGTTTAGGGATGTAAGAGGCAAACAATAAATGAGACTTTTAAAAAAACCATTTGTTCTCTGTCTTATTGAAACACTGGAATTCATTCATTTTGAATAGTATAAACAGGAAAACATCCAGCATTTCTAAAAGAAAATACTGACATCTAAAGCCTATATTATTTTTAAAAGGTGTTGGAAGTAGCATTTGCACCCTTTGAAGGGAGAAACTAAAATGCATTTGTGAGGAAGTTTTACATTTAAGATCTAGCCATTAAATATTAGATTTTATTTCATTTCTCACAATTGTTAGATTTTTTTGAAGGCTTTCAATGCTATTTGTGTTACTGAAGTACATACTAAAACTGCACAGGATCACAGTGTTGCAGAGGTCTATTTACAGTTGCAATACTGAGCTCATGAAATGGCTGACTGAGACCAGTATAAATGATTACATTTGACAAGTATAATTTTATTTTCTGTTCTTGCATAAACTTAATTGCACATATTGGGATAGCTTGGTGGTACTGATTGGAAGACCAAAGAGCAAATTTTAACACATTCTAAATAGCTGGTTTGTGCTTTAGAAAATAACTGGGCATATAAAAATTAGTTGTGGCATTATACAGCAAGGCTGTCAGCCTACAGGAAATCATTATAATGGAGAGACAAGAAGCTTCATAGCAATGAAGACAAGAAGTAGCAGCTTTATTCTGGTTAAGAGGGCTTGTCTCACATTGTGAAGAACCTCTTAGCAAGGTTCAAGCATTTCTTCAAAGTAGGTGCTTGCAGAAAAGCTTAGTTGCCAGGCATTGTGGGTTTGAACAAAAGGAAAAGAACAAATTTCACTCATTTTTCTCCCTTTTTTTTAATCTGCTCCATTTAAGTGGATTTTAAGGAGGCACACAGTTCTATAGGTGTTTATATTCTTTTCTTGACTGGTTTGAAGTACTTGTCAGCAGGATCCATAATTTTCTTTCATGTTGGGGAATCAGGTGTGTTTTTGGAAAGTCGGATCACTCCTCAATTGTAGTTATTTTCTCAGTATGACTTTTTGTTGGTAGATTTACATATTCTGTCTAAAGGGAAAGAAAATTTTGTATCATGCAGTAGGCTACAAGTTGGTATCATTCTAAACATTAGTTTCAGCAGTACCAAAGGCATCCCATCTTTGTCTTTTAATACTTAATAAATGATTGCAAGACAGGAGAAAACAGTTTTAAGGACAGTTAAGGAATGTTTCAATATGTCTGAGCAGTACTAACTGTCAGCAGGAGGAAGAACAGAAGCTGGTTTAGACACTGGGCAACCTTAGAGAAAATAGAAGGAATTTATTCAGTCAGTATTGGCTGAATTTTCCATATGTAGGCATTGGCTTGGCATGTAGATAAAATATTTTAGTTGCTATCACACATTTTTACATTGGCTAACCTAGGGTTCTAGGAGAGTGCCTGCTGCTAGGTAAGATTGTAGTACTCATAGAGCACTTGGAGTTTAAAGTTTTGGGGGAAGATAAAAAGCAGGGCTTTGTGGTCATGGTGTTTTGGGCTACTTTACTGTTCTCCAAGGAAAATGCACAGAGTGTATCTTGCAAGTTCTTGGAATATATTTAACTCCAAGCAAGAGATGATAAAACTCGGTAACGATGAGGAAAGCAAATTAGGAGAGTGACTAGAAAATCATTGGTCTGTAGTAAGATGAGTAAAATAGAATGGATTAGAGGAGTGCAAGTTATCTGATGCACTGAATGATTTGGTAGGATCTTAAAGCAAATAAAATTGGCAGTTCTTTAATGTGAGTGTTTTAAGGATGCAGTGCAGAAAGTTAGGATTTTTTAATCATGAGCTTTTCCAGCTATCTCAGAAAAAGTTGTGTAATAGGAGAAAAGAATTAGAAAATGTGAAAGGTCGTTGAGTAAATAGAGGGAAAATGAGGAAATGCAAAATTTAAAAAGGTGTGATTAGCAAAGGATACTGCACGTTTCAAAACAGCTCAAAAATCCATTAGCACTAAATGTCAGGGAGAGTGTTTGCTATTCAGTGGAGGAGAGCTTTTGAAAATGTACTTTTTGTACTGTGTTATTTTAATAACTTTAAAGAATTACAACATTCAATCAATGTTAAAGGTACTGACTTTGGAGAGAAGAGGTAAAATAAAATTAGATTTTAAGAGTAGATCAAACTGTTTAAACATGTCAAAATCGTATGAATTATCTTCACAGCGGTGGTTGGCAAGTGTTAGGTAATGTGAGGGTTTCATTTAACTCTGGCAGCTGCTGCTGCTGCATTGCTCCCTGCATAGAAGTGCCTGAGCCACAGATTGCAGACCTCATCCACAAAGGCCTCTGGGTTGTAGGGGAATGATTTGAGTGTGTTTGGTAGTGTCTATGCACAGGAATTTGGAAGCCGCTCAAGTTCAGGAAAAGCAAGCAAGCACTATGCAATTTTACAAAAAGGGCTTGTTACTTTTCTAGCTATATTATTTAATGTGATGGACTGTGGACTGCTGCTGCTGCTCTGTAGCCTTAGCTCTGGCTGCCTGGTAGGAAGTGAGAAACCAGGTATTTATGACTTAAGGTGTATGAGGAAACCTATCTAAGTCACAGTCCTACCTACTTTCTGTGAAAGCCAAAGGTGGTAGGGCCAAACACAAATTAATCAGGACAGCAAGCTGGTATATAGTTATCAAAACTGGAGAGTTTTAGTAGTCAGAGATTTGGGTATTCTTTGTAAACAATTGAAGGAAAATATATGTGTCACTTTTGGAATCCTCATTGGAATGCATGGTGTTGCCCACTGAATTTTAGGCAATTAATGACTAACCTGATTTACTGACTTCAAGAATGTCTTTGCTTTAGCCAAGCATGAATGGTTTGAAGCCTGGTTGTCATGATGTGTGCAGATGGACAGAAGAGTTACTTGCTGTTGACAGTGTGCAAGTGTGTAAGATACTGTAAACAGGAAAGGAATAAGGGTTAAAAGTAATGGATTTTAGGTGCATTAAACCAAGCTATTAAAAAGGCTTTTTTAAAGTAAGGCTAAATAAACATGCAGAATAGGCTGCACAGGGATACTACAGTCAATTGGTCAAATACAATTTACACAAAACCCTGAAATTGCAAATCCTGTGTTGAAGCAAGAGGAAGGTTAGTTTAACTCCTAAGTCTTTCCAGCCTTGTTGATTTGCACTAAGTGTGACAGGATTTTTACATGGGTATAGGTCAGGTTTATGAAATATATATTCACATTATATTATGACCATTGGTGTTTGAAAACTAATGGAAATACTAATGGAAAATGTATCCTCACTTTGGGTCTTTTTAAAGTATGAACAGCAACCTTGCAAAGCTGGTACACATAGAAATTACAATAAATTTACACTCAGTAAAGGCGTATATTCTGATCTTAAAATATGTCTGCAAATATCTTCAGGACAATCTTTTGTTTCAGTGTTGGCATAGAGCATTTCAGGTTTCAAAGCAGAATAGCTTGCGTGACAGAAATTAGTTTTGGACCAAATGTTAACACTTCTTTTTATAAGTCAGCTCTTCTAGTCTTTGGCCTGTTGTGGTTTGTAGTTAACAAATTTGACTGAATTGAGAAGAAATCATACCTGGATATCTTCATCAGTTAATGCATTGAACTTGTCTCTTGGTTGTGGTATGGGAGGAAATAGGTTCTTGAAACTGCAGTACCTTTGGGTAGAAAATGGGATTGTGGAGAAGTTGAAAATTCTGCTAATATAACTTATACAAACTTTTTGTGGTGTAACTTAAGGACATTTTTTACTTTCAAGTATTAATATCTATTGCTCTACAAATTAAATGAGAAAATATTTTCAGTGGGGTAACTGGTGGATAACTATTATTACACTTAGCATTTGGGTTATTAAAATTTATTTTGTGATTAGAGTCACGGTAAATAAGTTATTAATAAATTACTTTGAATAAATCATGTGACATAACTTTCAGCCCTGAGTGAGAGGTTTTCTCAAAATAAGAATATGTTAATTTGGATTCCCTCTTGTCTGTACTGTATATAGCCAATGGCTTCAAAGCAACCTGGATGTTAAATGCTTAAACATAAGTACAAAAAAGCTTTTTTAGGATCTGGTAGAATCAATTACTTAATAACTTCAACATCCTTTCCCCCTTTTCCACTTAGTGATTTTGCATGCCAAAGGACCATCCACAGCAATCCTGGTGGTAATAGTTCATGACATTGACAGTCAGATTATTTTAATTTGCAGGTAGGAAAGTAGGAGGTTATAGGAATGTGTTTCATATAGATAATACTCTGTCAGTGTCTACAGAAAAAAAGTTGATTTACCTTTTGAAAAGACAATACAGGACAAGTGTAATTGAGATTGTTCCAAGTGCAATCAGAAATAAAATCACAAAAATAAAGTAATCTTTCCCTTGACCTGAAACAGGAAAGAGAAAGAAATATTTTAGCATGGTAAAAAGCTGCCTTTGTGACTGCATGATGCAATGAATGTGAATTTCACTACATTTCTTGGATGGTCTAAAGGACTTCAACTTGACTTCATTATAGAATTTTGTCCAAAAATGCAGATAGACTTGATACATTTTAAATATTTTCAAATGTTTTAAATTTAGAGAATAAAAATTTTGAGAACTTTTTTTTAAATTCTGGAAAGAGACAAGAATAAACAGACTTACAGAACAATTAATAGAGCAAAATTAGTGTAAAGGGTAAAAAGAAAGATGCAGAGGGAAGGGGATGATATTCATGTAGAAACTTAAGATAACAGAGAGGCAGCCTCATCACAGCAGACCAAAGACAAGGGTGGGTTTGTCTCTGTTTCTGTGGCCCTGGCATCTGAGCAGCTGCTGCCTTCACAATCCCAGCTAATCAAAGGCTCTCCTGCCAGAGTATTGGAGCTACTCCTCCCATTAATAAAATCCATCCAGTTCCTTCCATGTAATTGGATAAAAATTAAGATTTTATTCATTACTGTGAGGAAGAAAGGGAAGCAAACAAAGTAATAGTGGAAAAAAAATCATAGTCTTACCAAACTCAATGGGTTCACTCCATTCCCCCCAGTTTGAGCTGACAAGACAGTTTTTTCCACGTGCTCTGATTTTCAGAATGTATCTTTTTTTCTCATTGTAATTTTGGAATTCATATCTGTCATTCCTTACCTAAAAGGAAAGTGATCAGACTCTGCATTTCACCTCATAGGCAAACATTAACAAAGTTTTTGGGTAAATTTCCTGTTACGGTTTCTAAAAAAAAGAATTTGTAAGATTTTTTTAGGTTTGTACTATCTTGCCAGCAAAACTATCTGGTTTTTTAAGGTTATAGTTTTTTTTAAGTTTATTTTGTCTTTGATTTCTTTTCTTATGCTTTATGGACACCTTTTTTTTTTTTTTTTTTTGGTGTCCTTGTTTGTGGACCCTAAAGAAATCTGAAAGACACAAAGCAGAGATTGGAGAAGTAAACTGTGTACTGTAAACTCCCCTTGCAACCTTCATGGAGATTAAACAGGTGTGGATGGTGTTGGTCATTGCTAAAAAGATATAATGTTCCTGAGAGAATACAATGACAGATTAGTTACTTTATACAAAGTTTGGAATCTGTCAAGCCCTTCCAAGGCTTAGAAGACCACTCATTTGTTGAGGGCAGACTGACAGTATTTATTAAATTCCCCAGGTTTTGAAGATTGTTGTGCTCCCTTTGCCTAGCTGTCTTGAGCTATCAGTGATATTATTCCAATAATATGAAAGAGTGTTTCAGGTTTTTAGCAAGCAAAATGTCACATCTGTCATTAACAAAATCTATTTGTGCAATGGATGGAATGTATGAAGTTTTGTGAAATGCATGGAAAAATTTGCCTACTCCATCCAAAATGGATATATTAGGTTTACACATAACGATATCACAGGAACATATTTTTCTGAATTCTCATTGCTACATTGATACAAAACCTGTAGTTCTATAAGTAAGTGTATTTTCTGTAATGGTATTTACATGCTTAAGTAGGCAAAAGTACAAATTTGTATGTGACAAGAATACTTACACGAGGAAGCTTTTTCTCTTCTGTGGGCTCATCCTGCAAAACAAAGACAAATCTTAATTTTTATTATTTTTTATCAATCAAATATTTCTCTAGATTGTTCTCATTTTCTTGCTTTTGAAGACCATAAGTTATTTTCAACTGAAAAATCAATCAGATAATATTCTCCAGTAATGTCCCTGAATTTTATTCAGTTTTGTCTTCCTACATTTCCTTTTAGAAAAGGAAGGAAATATTAATTATTTAACAGTAGATGTGAGAAGCTGTATTTACCACTTAGGGTATTTTAATACACACTATGCATTCTCATCCATATCCAAATTACACAAGCAATCACATCATCCTACAAACAGAGCAGATCTGGAACCTGTGATTTCACAATAGTTTGTGAAAATTGATGTGAATAGTGAATTTGCCCTCCTTCCTGTCAAAGTCTCTGATAGACTTATCCATGCTCAGGGGCTTTCTGTGAAGAGCTGCTTACACATTCTATGCAATCAAAATTTAATTAAATTGAATCAAACATTGACCTGGATCAAAGAACCTGAAAATTTTGAAGAAAAGGATAGGTTCAAAAATGAGTGAACAAATTCAACAGCAGTGACTTTTAGTCAGAAAGCATTGAAAAGCTGAGGTCCTAGAAACATCTATCACATGTAATATCAGCATAGCCAGAATTATGGAAAAGTCAGAAAGGTATAACTGGAAGGAATGTCTCATTACAGAAAACACACCCACAGTGTGTCTTTGACTGTAAAGCAGACTAGCATTTCCCCATCACTCACTGTCAGCTGAGTGCTTTTAGCTTAGGATGTGATGGAACTCATCAGCCTGTGCTGGGAATGAGCAGGGTGCAAATGAGTTGCCTAAACCTTAGGTGTGTAGTGCTGCTTCAGCTGTCTAACCTCTGTTGGTGCCTCCTGGAAGGTGTGAGCTGTAGCTGCCATCTCCATGTCAGTGCTGCTGGTACCTGCAGCACCTCAAGGGCTGTGAGGCACCTGCTGCTCTACAGCAGGGAGCCCTGATGGGCACTGACCCTTAGGAGATATCCCTGCTCCTGTGCAGACACCTACATTAAGGTGTCTCAGTCTAGGAGATGAATTTCCTACTCAGATGTAGAAATCTACACTGAACCCCACCCATTCTGATTGTGGCGCAGGAAACAAGACTTAATACGTATTTCTTTCAAATAAATGTTTTGGCAATATTGCTATATTGTGATCTATATATTCATGTAGAACTTCATAAGCATTTCACACAAGATCTTACTGTCAATCATGCCAACCAGCTGGAAAGCAGCATTGCTTCAATTGCTCCTTGTACCAATAGGTACCAAGGTAAATACTATTAATGCGTGGAAGATACAGAATCCAGGTAATCCAAACAGCCTGCAAGCTTGTTGGTCTTGTTTTTAAGAAAAAAATGAGATTTATGATGTGTTGCTTTATTGCAGTTGTATATTTATGTTTAACCCTTAGCTGGTCTTTCCTGTAATGGTCTTGTGGCTGAGCAGTTGCTACCATAGTAAGCCTCTGAGCTGCAGAAGTTCATGACAGGTGGGATATGAGACCAGGAAAACTGTAGCAGGAGGAAACTACAGCTTATGAGAGAAAAATTAACAAATAAAGAAGTCAGAAATGTACGTATTATAGATATGCATGAGTGTAGGTACGGTACCAAACATAAACCAAGAAATTGTTTTTACCTTATTTTGTATGCTAATTTCATACTGAAAACACTTTGTGTTATCCACATGACTTGTAAGGGGTGGTTGCCACATAATTATGCAACCCATAGGATCTCTGGTACAATGGGCAGTGACATTTAATGGAGCAGTGAGTATTTCTGGGGAAAAAAATGGAATAATTAATATAGACATGGTCAGTAAGCAGCTACAACTCACAGCAAAATGCATGTGAAGGTGAGGCAGCTGATGTACAGCTGTGGGCTCCTAGTGCTAACTGAAGTTATCTGGTAAACAGCAGTAAAATACCTAACCAAAACTTGAGAGTATATCACTGCAGTTTTTGGACATCTGAAGTAAATGAAGCTCATGTAAAGAAAAGGTATGAAAGATTTTGTGTAATTCACTAGTGCAATCAGCAGAGTGCCATTTTCTTCTACATCTGTTTTCCAACCTCACATTGACAATGCAAGTTTCCATGGGAAAAAGGAAGGAAGTTTTTTTTGTGTGTGGTATTATTCATGATGCATTCAAGACATCTGAATTGGAGTGCCTATAATATAGTTGACTCAGTGTGACCTGATTTCTCTTGGGGCTTAAACACCTAACTCAGAGAGGTACCCACATATTTAACTAAAAGAGTCCTAATTTGGAAGCTGAACCTCACTCTGGTTTTAGGACATGTAGCTCTTGTGGCTCTCAGAGAGGTGTGAAATTATGGGATGGTAAAATAAGCCCTTAGGAGAGGTGGCCTTAAAAATCTAACCATTGTGTTTCGTTACTTGGAATCCATGACTGTGTGCACACCTCTTGTCTCAGCAGTTTTTTCAGGCTGCCTCTGCTTGTTTTAGTCAAGTTTTGGAGCTGTATTCTGTCAGCTGTTGGAAGCAAAGTCTGCCCTGCAGTGCAGATCCTACAACAGCTGCACTTTGTTTTAATATGCTTTTCAAGAAAAATTCCCCACTTCCTTATTTTATAAAAGAGTAATAAAGATAAAATGCTCAATTACTTACCAATGTTATACAGGTCAATGTACTCATCATAGAACTGGATCAGGGAGTTGTTGCTAGACCCATTCACCAGGAAGTAAGCTTTTTCAATCCCTATGCTCACGTTTTGGAAGATGCATCCCACATTTCTGAAATTTTCATCTTTAATGTAAAGCTCACATTCCATCTCCTCTTCACCTCTGCATATAGCGAAGTATTTTAGTTAAACATGAGCACTGTGATGTACTGAGCGAGAATTCAGACTTCCCTGTCTCAAGCAGACCTACTTACCTTGACTGCTGCCAGTAGAGAAAATACTGTGTGTCTGCTGGAGCATCCCTTCCTGCCTGCCAAGTGCAGTTCATGAAGAAGATGTTATAAATCACACAGGAGAAGTTTTCAATGGCTGAGCCCTTCATGCCTGCAAACACAGGAATATCCATGGTGAGGAAAATTCATGTGAGTCCTCCAAGCTGGAGGATCATGGCACACACTCAGCTATGCTAGACACCTGCTGCTATTGCTTGGGTTAGGAGTGACAACTGAGAGAAAACTCTACTCTCACTCCACTTTAACTGCCTCTGAACTGTGAAACCTGTCAGTGAAGCATTCCACAAGTAAAGGAAGGCACATTGCCTTTTAATACCATCCATGCTGCTACAAAGATAAGTATTTCTCCCTTTGCAAGTAACACCCAGGAAACTACTCCTGACATGTTTACACAGAGTATTTAAAAAGCTGAGACTTTTAAAGTGAGGTTGGACTTTTTCCTGCTCTCCAATCAAGCAGGCTTCTCCTTAGTTCTTTCCACCTTCATGTGGGTGACAGTGACTTGTTCTTTTGTTTTCTGGAGCACATTGAAACAGGAACCTCGTTGCTTTTGGAGGTTCCTCATGGCTGGGCTGGGCAGGCATGCTCAGCCTCTTCCTCTCTTCTTCAACCACTTTTCTGCTTCTTACTGTCCTATGTCCTAAATCCAGTGAGAGCCTGGAGGCTTCCTGTGCTACTGACTCCATCCCTCTCCAGTGCCCAATAAAGAGGGCAACCTTATGGAAGAGCAGGGGAATCCTCTGGGAAAGCTGCACACTTGGAAGGCAGGGGAGGCACACAAGTTTTGGGTGTTCTGGCTTGTATTTTGAGGGTCACCATGAATGTTTCTGCTGACAAATCCACAGGAGGAGAAGATCAGCGAACATTTTCCCTGCTCAGACATGAGAAAGCTGCTAATCCATCACTTCTGTCATGTCTGAAATACCCCAGTTACACACAACTGCTGCACCCCTGGTGGCTGGGGAATTTTAATGGAGAACTCTGAGCTGAGAAGGAAGGCAAAAATGGGTCACAACAGTCAAACTCATCAACAGTCCAGTAAGTACTAACATTTTAATTTGCAACAGCCAGAAGGGTTATTTGACTCCACCCTTAAACCACTGTAATTTATTAGCATTTTGGAGCCTTAGTATAAAAGAGAAGAGTGCATTTATGGATACATTTGTTGTAATACATCTCTTGCAGAATGATGGAGACATTTATTACAGAGCAAATAATTTTAACAGATCTGGAAAAAAAAGCTTTTAATAGAAAATATAGCAGTTGCCTACTATGTAAGTAACTGTTTCTAAGGCAGTGTTTACCTTTAAAAGATTGCAAGTGCATAAAACCTTAGCCAGACCACATACATTACCTCCAGGGAGAAAGCTGCATTGTTTTGAGATGTTTGTGTTTGGCACTTCAATGACAAAGGTTAGCCCTTTGTGCACAGGCATGTGTAGTTCCAGTGGAAAGCTGCATAGTGGACTATCCACCTGTAAAGAGAATATGGTATTTTATTTCTCTGCTTTTTCTCTTCTGATGTTAGATGAGGCTGGCTATGCAAGTGCAACTCAGGACTGCAATTCCATGTATATGCATGTATTTGGTACAAAAACCAGCTCTCTCCTTTAGCACTCAAGGGTGATATAGAATGGAACTGAGGAATCAAAAACATAACTACACAAAAAGCTTTGCAGCTCAGGAGTTGGATGCTACACTAGTGTGTAAGTATTTTAGGAGTGGCATAAAGAAAATGGCAAATACATAGGGGAGCCACAAAGGAATTTAATCAAAAGATTAAGCAAAACAAAAGTCCTCATCTGACCTGCTCAGGGGTTAAAAACTGTCTGTGGTGTTATACATATAATCTTCCATAAAGATGTGATGTATTTTGTACCATGTATTTCTAAGGCACCTGCTTTGCTAGGCTGAATAAGCCATCTTTATCTCTGTTGAGCTTCCTATTTTACTCTTTTGATAATGTGGGTTTATAACATAGCCTGTGCTACAGGCAGGATCCAGTTTACTGGGAAACAAGTGAAGAATTTAAGATAACCATAATCCATGGCAGTGTTTCTGGGATTTTTTTTTTTTTTTTTTTTTGCGGGAGGTCTCTTGCTATGTCTCTTTAAAGTCTCTAGAAGTCTCACTTAATCTCACAGCCCCTTTTTTTCAGCAGCTACATCCCTACTCATGATTCAACATAGCTGCAGTTCAGGCTATCACTTTCTTCCTGTCAGAATTTCAATTCTTTAGTATGCATTGGGTGCTCATCTCACAGTAAATACACCCAGGCATTGCTGATGGCTTCCCACAGCCCCCAAGAGATCAAGCTGTAGACTGCAAACAGCCACATGTCAGATGTCATCTGCAACATTCATTTTTTTCAATGTAAGTGAAATTGATAAAAGGACAATTATTGATAAAAACAATTATTTCTCTCAATGAATAGCAAGTTTACCTCTGTGTCTATATATTCCATGCCTCTGTCCATGATGATGCATCTGTACTCAGAGAAGTTCCTGCTGCTCTGCCAGGACAGCTCCATTTTTCTCCAGTCCACACTCACATTTGTAATAGGTGATTCCTGAGTCTCTGCTGAAAGTGTTGCAGCATAAGTTGAGTAAGGATATGCTATTGCCTTGGTTGAATACAGAGGATGGTACCTGTCAGGCTTAAGATAGCAATTGCCAGTTTCATTGCAAGCATCTCTGAAAAATGAAGAGTTAAACCTTGTTTCTCACATTATATCTGCAAAAATGTACTTACACTCCATACACTGGATGTCAGCATGCAAGGGATGAAACAGCATCATATACCACAAAATCACACAAATGAGTCCAGGAGCATCAAACATATTTCCTTCTCTGGAAAGAGACAATGAAACCTTCAGAAGGAAAAAGGAGAATATTAAAAAAAAAAAAAGGAAAATAATGTTGAAGTGTATTTTGGTTTTGCAAAACTTAATTTTTTTAAAATATTCTTTAGAAAAGCCAAGCACAGGATGAGCTTCAGGCACCTCTTCTTTGAACTAACTGAATAGCCATGATACTGCCCACAACAAAGTAGTTTGAGATAAAGAGGCCATGGACTCTCATGATGATAACTACACTCACTGTTTTCAGTGCAGAGACCATGACTGACAATTACTTTTTCCCACATATCTATCCCAACTGCACCATCAGAAAGGTTTTCTTGCTTTCTGATCATGAGAACATCACAATGCTGTGCTTTGCATTAGCAGCTAGATTGGTGTTGACAACACAGCAGTGTTCCGGCTGCTGCTGAGCAGCGCTGGCACAGCACCAGGGCTGTCTCTCCAACCCCATCCCACCAGCTCTGCAGAGGCCAGTGGGACAGGGGTGAGCCAGAGGCTGGGAGGGAACATGGCCAGGACAGCTGACCCCAGCTGATAGGGATATCCCATATCGTATGGCATCATGTTCAGCAATAAATCCTGGGAGAAAGGAGGATTGGGATGGGATGAGGCATTTTTGTCCAGACATTTCACTTCCAAAGAAACTGCCATGTGTACTGCAGCCCCCTGTCCCAGGGAATGGCTGGATATTGTGTGCTGAGGGGAAGTAGAGAATAAGGAAGAGAGGGGAGTGAGAGAGCAGCTTGGTGGGCAGCTGGTGGCCAGCCAAGGTCAGGGCACCACAGTGTTTATTCCTGTCACAAATGGGTCTCCACTTTTCCAACTACATAACTCCCACTGGTCTTAGAGGTTTCCATCCATACAAAATAGTCTACTTCAAATTTTATCTTGCTTCAGGGTTAGAAACCAAGGAGTCAGATGTTCCAGATCACTGTAGGCAATTTAAATTTCTAAGGAAGTGTGAGCACCTGCAAAGGATGACTCTACATTCGTTCATGTGGTATGGAGGACTGAGCAAAGCTAGTCAAACACTGGCATCAGCTCTTATCAAACATTGCTCATCTTATGACAATTTTCCTTTTCTCCAAGGAAGTTAAAACTCTTTGGAAAAGATTTCTCTATTCCCAGCTTTTTAAATTTTTTTTTCTACATGAAGAAGCAACTCTGGTTAAATTTTCATTTGCTTTAGCACTGCTGAGCAGCGCAACTTTGTAGCTGCAATTTTCTTGCTAATAGATAGTACTAAGGATAATTTTAAAACTGAATTAAATTCTTACAAACTCAAGAAAAAGAGAAACGTGGTAATATTTTGTTACTAATCAGCCCTTCTATATTAATTTTTATGGTTATGTCAGGATGCTGATTTCAAACTGACTCCACTTGTGGTGAAAGCAAAAACCACCCTGATGTTCCAAGTCATTCCGTAACCTTGAATATTTTCAGAAGGCGTGTCACATTTCCTGGAAATTGGCTTGATGTGACATTTCCATCACATCCCCAGGACTGAAGCTGGGCCTTGGGGTTGCAACAGAGACAGACTCTTCACTGTAACCTGCTTATCTCTTGCAGCATTCATATTTGTAAATCATCATTCTGCAGTAAGGATGTGGCCTAGGCTGCTGGGAGGCGATACTGAAGAATCTCAAGTACAAGCAGTATGGAGGACTGGGCATTGAATGCTCTGTGAGATATTGTCTCAATAGTTATTTCCCCTTTCCCACGCTCTCAGGGACCACCCCAGCAATGCACGTGAGAACATTGAGACCTGTTGTCCTTCCAGTTAGCCTCTTAATCATATTTTCTCTGTTTTGGCCATTCTGTTCAGTCACTCAACACTTTCCCCTTCCTTTCCTCATGTTCCTTTTCTAGGCATTTGTTTTCCTATTCTTTGGCAACTGTCTGCTCACCTTTCCTTTATTTTCTGTTTCATTTTTCTTGTGATCTCCCTCTCTGTTCTGATTACTCCTGTTCTTTCAAAATCTCCCTCAGGTTTTCTACACATGAGTGCAGCCCCATATTGCAGGTATCCTTCCTGCTTTCTCATGGAAATGCTTATCTGGGACACTGCCATGGGAATCATCCACAGCCCTCTCTGCTTAGAGAAGTGTTTGCTGGTATCATTGTCTCCACACTCTGGCATTTCATTGGATATGCAGTGGGAAAAGCAGGGCCTGTAAGCATTGCCTTTCCTCATAAGAAATGGCCATTCCAGCTGAATGCCCCAACACATAGCCAGGTGCTCTGTTTTTTCTCTGCTTCAAGGCAGGATGGGCGATGAAGGAGCTGTGGTGAGGCCTGAGACATTCAGCTGAGAAATCCAGACCTTCTGTACAGTGGCCAAACAAGTGGCTCCAATCATATTTTTAGGAATTTCCAATTGTATTTTTAGGAATTTTCTGCCTCCAGGACCTCCACTCTCTCCCAGACTGGTCTTCTTCAGACAGGTGTGGTAAAGCTCTCTCTGGACTGAAGTCACCTCAGTATTGAAGATGCCAGAAAGAACACTCATGTCAAAATGATTGTGAGTGTTATTTGGAGGATCAGACCAGAAGAACCATACATATTCTGCTGTGAGCAATATGTCCTCATATTTCATCAAAATAGAACTTATTGAGATGAAAATGCCCAAACTGGATTATTTTTTTCTGCCTTTCTTCTTTCCTCTTTCTCCCCTGGGCAGCCTCAGAAGTGTGTGTGTACCCTGCTACACAGGGGAGAGCCCCAGGGGTGCTCAAGCACCTGTTTTCCAGACACCTCAACTCTTAGCTCACTCCAGGGCAGTTTGTTATAAGCCCAGTCTATCCACCTTACCAATGTGTCAGAAATAAAATACTGTCAGGTAGCCTGTAGTGGTTTCCACAGAAATCATGCACTAAATACTGACTTAAGCACTCTCAATTCTTATCCTCTCAGTCTATTGTCTTTGCTCTTAGGCTGTGAGCGCAGGATGGCACCAGAAAATGTCACCTGAGGCCAGTGACTTATTTGCTTCAGTGTCTCTGGGAAAATTACTCCTGCCCATGACACTCTTCCAGAAATGAAACTTTATATTTTACTCATATGGTAATGTGAGGATAAAGGGATACTTATACATTGCCGAGATATGGAGAATATCATACACTGGCTAAACCTTCCGGAAGCATTGAAATAGGAATAGAAATCTTACAATGCATGCCAAGCAATGTTATTATCAAATTGCTGCCTAAATACAACTATTTCAGTTTTTAGATCAGTATTCTGATTCCTGTGGACGATACAAAACTGGGAGAAGTGGGTGCTATGTGACTATCTTTGCTTCAGAGGGACCTGGAGAAGCCGGAGAAATGGGACGACAAGAACCTTTTGGAATTCAGCAAAGGAAGGTGCTGAGTCCTCTGCTTGGGGAGGAATACCCCCTGGCACCAGCAGAGGCTGAGATCCACCTGGAGAGCATCTTGCAAAGAGCACAGGCTGACCCAGGGCCGATGGTGTGCCCTTGCAGAGCAGAAGACCAAAGGCACCCTGGGCTGCACGAGGCAGAGCGCTGCCAGCATGACAGGGGAGGGTTCCTGGAGTGCCCAGTCTTGTTCTGGGATCCCCAGCAGAAGAAAGACATGGAGCTGCAGGAGGGAATCCAGCAAAAGGGCTCTGACACATGAGAAGAGGCTGAGAAATATGGGGTTGTTCATCCCAGAGAGATGAAGGCTCAGCAGGATGATATCCATGTGCCTAAATACGCAGCTGTGAGGAATGACGAAGAGCCAGGCTCTGCTCAGTGGTGACAACTGGCCGGACAAGAAGCAATGGGCAAAAACTAAAATCATGGAAATGCAATTTAAACACAAGAAAACACCCTTTACTGTGAGGCAGTCAACACCTTGAACAGGCTTTCCAGGAAAGCTTTGAAGTCCCCAGTGTTGGAGATACTGACTGGACAAAGCCCTGAACAACCTGCTGAGACTGACCCTGATCTAAGCAAGGATTGGGAAAGGACAATTTCCAGAAGTGCCTTCCTGCCTCATCCATCCCATGATTTTGTGATTTACTTTTTTCTCCCCCCAAGAAATAGAAATCTACCTATTTCTAGTTAATTTATAGAAAGGGTACAGAAAATAGCATTTCTTTCAGTTATTGAAAAATAGATGTCAGATAAAAAATGTCAAATAGTGCAATATATATAACAGACATTTCATAGTCTTCCTTGGATCTTGCACAAATCTTTAGAAATTTTGTATTTACACATTTCTACTTTTAATCAAATAGGTAAAAGAATCCTTGAAATATTCTATAGAATTCCTTAAACTCGAAGGACACTAATTTGTACATGTGCAAATTTGTACATGTGCACATTTTGTACATGTGCAAATATGACTGTACCAACAATGCCTAGAAAATATTTGTATCCTGCAAAAAACCTTCTGTGGCACTAAAAAAATCAACACACAACATAGAGAGACTTACCTCCTCTTGAAAAACTCTCCTAATTTTTCTTGTTTGATTTTGGTTCACAGCAACAAGGACGCTTTAACGTGTAGTTGTAGTCACATGCAGGAATTTGGAAATGTTCTGCTCTCCCTGTTTGCTTTGCTTTACTGCATGACTGCAGTATTAAGTAAGAAATGCTGCAAGTTAGAAAGCTGGTCACTTTATCATTTCCCTTACTGCTTTTGAGCTTCCTTAAGTTTCCTGATTGGCAGATGTTAACAATTTCACACGAAGAGATCATGCAACTAACTCTTCCTTCCTGTTATATCTGATGAACTAAGCATTAATAGTCACAACATGCAAACACATTACCCAAAAATACATAAATACTCAGCAGGGTCACAGTATATCAACATGCTCATAGAAATATCACCTCTGTATATAAACATATTTTCATAAATAATATGTTCTGGAAATAACAGCAGTGTTGGGTCTTGTTTAAAGTGACTGCCTGTCTATGCTGGTTATGGCCCCTACAGAGGCCCAGGTTCTCCTTTGAGGAAGATCAGTGCTTAGCAGGTATGTACAAACAGCCAAGAAAGTTCTGTCTTGTATATTTGCAGGCAAAGAAATGCCAAGGAAAATACCAGACCCAAATTTCTGAACTTTCTCACTGCTGACTAGGGGTTGTTTTTGTTTGGTTCATCTTAGTCTACAGTATCATGTTAGGTGAAAAGGTGCCTGACTGCAGAAATTAAAAGAAAATGTCCAAAGCATTTACTGAATAACATAATGCTACATTTGCAAAAATCTTTGCAGTCATGTAAGTATGAGAGGCACAATCCATTTTATTTGCTTTAACTTTCAGCAACTTCAGATGTGGCTGAAGGGACTGTTAATCACTTCCCCATTTGTTTTACATGACATCTGACATGCAATTATGTAATCTGCATGTAATGAATTTTTTTTTTTTAATTTTCCTGCTGTTCTTGGGTGCTTTTAGCAAACAGGAGTTCATTTAACCCCTCCCTTCCACTCCCAACACAGGCACAATAGCAGGAAGGTGAAGAATTCCCTAGGCTTCTAAGGTGTGAGGAAAGATCCTTAGTAGTTTGTCTGCTAAAGGAAGAACTATTCTTAACCCTGGTATCATTGAACCAAAATTGTAGAGTGGGTTTGTTTGTTTGTTTGTTTGTTTGTTTGTTTTGCTAGTGTACATGCCCAGATCCACCAATAGCAAAGTACAGACTTCAAATTTTAAACTTCCTTGCCTTTCAGTTCACACTGCTCAGTTTTGCCCACCTTTGCCCAGTGGTTCCCACTAGAAGGACATGTTAATAGTATTTTCCTTTTCAAATCCTTGGGTGAAAACACCTGAAATGAGTAACAGTTTAGCCACAGCATGTGTGAGGCAGAGCTCAGCTGCAGAATTTTGTCTCTAGAACCACATACTGGCATTGGCTCAGTCCTTGTCAGCTTTTTCAGTACCTTGGGAACAGGACATGCGTGTTTCAAATCTTCTACTCACTAAAGCATTTAATTTACTTATTTTAGGCAGCCTAAAAGAAGCACATCCAGTACATGTGTAGTACCAGTTCAGTGTGATCTGAAATTGTCCATTCATCAGCTGTGCTCTACTTGGGCACCACCACCCACCTCAGTGACCACTGCCAACTTGACTAACTTTTCTGAAGCATCATCCTGCCATGTCACAAATATTTGTGATGCAAGGTGTGTGTCTGTGTGCCTGATTAATTTTGATGAGGGGATTTGCATGCTGTTGTGTCTGGTGAGGTTCTAGGTGATGTGAAGATGGTATTACAGTGTCACCTGACCAGTGCCTTCAGGCTGCCCAAACAGTGGCTGAATTAGTTTTATCTGATCCATTTGTAAGCCATATGAGGAGTGGTTCATCCTCCCTGGAAGTGTTCAAGAAATGACTGGATGTGGGACTGAGTTGCATGGCTTTGTTGAAAAGGTGGTGGTGTTAGGTCAAGGGTTGGACTCAATGCTCTTGGAGGTCTTTTTCAACCTTTATAATTCTGTGATTCAGTGATTTTGCATTGTAGCCTGGACTACTTCATCAGGGTTCTGTCTGTAACACCTTTCCTGAATCAGTTGAATACGTTGTCCATCTCCAGGAGAAAACAGAAAACAAATGAGCAGTTTGTTTAGGCTCTACTTAACAAGACCCCCATGCCATCTCTTGAGCGTCTTGATACTTTTAGTATACTTTACTATTCCCTTCCTCAGGCAGAGCTGAACAACTGAATGGTTGTTCATAGATCATGGCTAGGTTTTGGTGGACTGGAGCCAAACTATGCCTCACTCTGGCAATTTTGCCCAAGAGGAGAGTTGCTGTGCAAGGTTATATAAACCAGTGCAGCCTGTTACAGCCCCACCACCCTTTTAGCAAGTTATTGTGAGCATTTCCACTCTGACCACTGCTGCATACTGGGAAAAATACACAAATGGTTTACAAGTATGTCCAGCATGAATTCAGCCTCTTTTGGAAATTTGTTTTGTTGTTCTGACCTGCTGCAAAAAGCTTCCCAGGTGAGTCTTTGACCAGAATGTAATCATTAACTGTGTCAAAGGCAATAGGTGTGCCAAGAGCTGTTTGTGTTCAGCCACGGTATAAGCTGGAGAAAGCACAGCACTGGAAGGCTCCCCAGCACTGGAACATGTCCAGGAACAACTGTTCCCAGCATTAGTTCAGCCAGGATTTACAAGTAATGTCCTGAACAGCTCCTGGACATAGTCCAGAGGTTAGCTCAGGCCAGGGCTAATTTCTAAAGGTAGTTTGCATGTGTCCACTTCATTTAGGGGTTTAAGAATGTGTGTGGACTCTTATACATAAATTGGCCCCTGTGCAATAAAATAGTCCCAGGAATGTTTATCTAATAATAAAACATCTAGTACCATTATAAAATTAGTCTAATAATCCAATAGCTATGCTCAAATGTCTAGTGTAAAAATCTGAATTAATCTAATTTTTCTAGTTGCCCATGTGTACTTGAAGAACTCCAAAGAAATTTCTAGTATGAACTGCCCCATTTTTGACAGTGAAAAATGAAATTCAGGCATCAGTATTTAAAAAAATTTATTCATCTCAATAAATTAATAATTAATCTTTTTAATATGAGACAGAAAGACAATTATTTTTCCTAAAGATTAAAACATAACTAAAACTTGTCGAATAAAATATCCCAATCATATTTACAAAATAGAAGATATCCAATAAGGACAACTTACCCAAACAGTTAAAATTAGCCAAAACTAAAAGCAAATACAATGGCATTTAAAAAGATTGCATATGAGGTATCATTCTCTCTTGGCTGCATCATGCTTTTATACAAGAAAAAGAAGAAAGTAAAGAAAGCCTATATATTATTCCAGACTTTCCACAGGGATATACAGTTGTCTAAGAAATGCACTTTCAGACTTCTCCATTTTTCTTGGCTATCTCATGATGTCAGCAACTAATACTATCTCTTCATTTTCAGATGTTATTGACTGTATTTTGCTCTCCATCAGCTGAAAGGAAAAAAAAAAAACTTCCATCAGTTTTATACCAAATGTTAGGTTAGCCTCTACTTATGCACAATTCTGAGAGTATTTCACCTGTTTTTGCTGTGTGTCCACACAGTCTGTCCTGTTTCCTTACAAAATCCTATTTTGAACTGTTTTCTGTGTCACCTCCTTTTCTTTCCTGCATGTGTAACTTGCAGGAAAGAGTAAGCAGGCAGGGTGGGCGCCTGGAGGGATTCAAGGGCACAGCTTGGAGGGGATGACCTTGGGGGACACAGGGCTCAGACACTGAGATCATGTATGAAAAACTTTATGGTGGTTGTATGTGGTGTTACATTTCCTTCCTTCCTTCCTTCCTTCCTTCCTTCCTTCCTTCCTTCCTTCCTTCCTTCCTTCCTTCCTTCCTTCCATCATTTGTAGATGCAGAGAGCGAGGAGATGTGCTAATCCCACTAGTAAACTCAGCCCTGCTCAGCTGGGAGTAGCTGGGGGACTGTGATGCCCAGTTCCCTATTTTAGAGCCTGCTGCTGGTGCTGATGAGGTGCTGGTAGAGGCAGCTGTGCTGGTTTTGTTTCTGGCTGCCTCACTGTGCCCCGTTGTGTCATTGTCCATGTCCTTGTGTTGGGAAAGTGAACAGACCTTCCTGCTGCCTGGATCTACCAATGGGAGCATCAGCCTGTGTACCTCTGAGACTGGAATGGGAGAAACGCCGTAGTTCTGGAAGAGCACTGCATTTGACATCCCTTAAAAAAACTCTCTGGCTGATTTTCTTTTCTTTTTCTTCAGAATATGGCAAAGAGAAGAGCAATCCTCTGTAATAAGTTCCTTATCATTAAAAAATTCAGCCAGTAGAGTCTTGTATGTATTTCACATATTTAATATAAAAATAGAAAGAGAATATACCTCTGGATTTGTATTAGCCAGTGTAAAAAAAGCAAGTTTTGGTCCTGGGATCTGTGGAAATGCTGCCTTCCAACAGCCAGTCCTAGAAATCAAAACGTATTGAATACAAGATTAAAATTGAATAACCATAATGTGCCAACACCATTGCAGCCTTGAACCAGCTCTTATCTTCCTCTTCACTCTTAGAAGTAAACTGAAAAATACACATAATCTCAATACAGAATGAACACATATCAGGAAAACATTAAGAATTTAGAAAGTAATAGATTAATTTTTGATTGAAGATTTACTAGTAGTAAATTTCCTTCTTAGACAGAGAAAGAAATTTGTCCTGCTATTTCATGACAAACAGTGAAAAGTGGGGGTAAAAGTTTTGACAAGCTGGGAGAGCAGTATCTTCTCTGAATTACTGCATATTTCTATGCAAAGTGCATCATACAATTTTCTTTCCATTTCTGTTTCACTTATGGGGTTTATTTTACCTGTCCTACAGAGATACCTCCACCTTATTTGTTAAAAAACTTTATGTCTTACACACACAGAGAGAAAATAAAATAAATGCATAAATTAAGTTTACCTTTTGCAGAAAAAAATTGTGATGATTGCCGTTAAGAGTGTTGCAACTCCTACTCCAAGTAAAATCCATACTGAAAAAGACATAATTTCCTCATTTCCTGAAAGAGAAACATTCATAAATTAGTAACAATAGTAGTAGTACTAGTATTAGCAGTCATAATATGAGGCGTAGATCATAGAATTACAGAACACTGAATAGTTTGGGTTGGAAGTGACCTTTAGAGATCCTAATTCCAGCCACTCTGTCATAGGCAGGGATGCCTTCCACTAGAGCAGATTGCTTAGAGACCCAGCCTGGCTTTGAACATTTTTAGGGACGGGGCATCCACAACTCTTTGGACAACCTGTGCCAGTGCCTCACCACCCTCATAGTGAAGAATTTCTTCCTAAAATCTAACCTGAATCTACACTCTTTCAGTTTAAAGCCATTCCCCCTTGAACTATAACTACATGTCCTTGCACAGTCCCTCTGCAGCTCTCTTGCAGCCCCTGGACAAGTGCAACAGGGTGTCTCTGGAGCCTTCTCTTTTCCAGTTAGAGCAAACCAAACTTTCTCAGACTATGAGAGGTGCTCCAGCCCTCTGATCCTTCTAGTGACCCTCCTCTGGACTTGCTCCAACAGGTCCATCTCCCTCCTGTGCTCAGGACCCCAGAGCTGGATGCAGCACTGCAGGTGGGGTCTCACCAGAGTGCAGGGGCACAATACTCTCCCTCACCCTGCTGCCCACGCTGCTTTGGATGCAGTCCAGGACACTTTTGGCTTTCTGGGCTGTGAGTGCTCATGGCTGCGTCATGTCCAGCCTCTCATCCACCAACACCCCTGAGTCCTCCTCAGCAATGTTTCTGTCAATTCCTCCATCCCCCAGACTGAATTGGCACCAGCAGCTGCCCTGAGCCAGGTGCAGCACCTTGAACTCGGTCTGGTTGGACTTCACGCTGTGTCAAACATCTGCTGTGGGGACTGACTCTGCTGAATGTCAGTCTGAAAGGTTTCACTTGGTAAAAAAATTAATTCCGTCTTTTATCACTTTAGCAGAAATGTCTGATGGGAAGAATTAACATTGATCCTATTTGTCCACCACCTGGAGTAAGCAGGAGCTCACTACAGCTGCAAATGTGCAATTTTTAATGTTATTTCCAGTGTTAGAATGTTAAGAAATCAATTAAGTCTCTTCGCACTCTTCTCTGTAGTGCAGTGTGAAACATTTGCCAATCCTTTTTACATGTGTGTGTGTCCAGAGGTGTGTGACAATGTGTGAGGTAGATGGGACATCCCTGGGGGAAGAGTAGCCCAGGGCTTGGGTTTGTTCTTACCAAAATCAACAGGTGCACTCCATTCCCCCCAGGCTGGGCTCACAAAGCAGACACTGCCAGCTGCTCTCATTTTCAAGACGTACTTCTTTCTTGTATTTGATCTTAGAAATATGTTACTGTTTCCCCCTTCCTAAAAAACACCCAAAAAACTGAGTTGCTTTTCTTTGTTCCATGCCTTGAAAATATGCATATGCCATTTACTAGTGAAACTTTTAAGAGGCTATGAAAGCATTGCTTATTAAAGAAGACTGCTGTTACAGAGAAAAAATAAATCATTATTATTATTTGTATAATATATACACAAATATGTATCTCAAAAATAACCTGACACTGATGCAACTTTTTACATTTAGAAGCATTTCATCTTTTACACTATAAAAGTATAATTTGTGATTTCTTATGATATGGTTTGATTTATTGATATCTTCCCTAAGCACATAGAGAGGTAGAAAACCTCTTTAACCATCTCATTTTAGTACTGCTAGAACTGAGTGATTTGAGAAATAAGGTGTCTGTGCACCTGCCTCAGTCTCTGCATTATGAATTTTCAGAAGAAGCTTAACTTTCCAGCCAAACCTGTAAAATAAGTAGATGACTGCAATACTCAGTGTTACCAGAATTTAATGTAATACTCTTGCTCTTGGTGGCTTTTGCATAGAGGTGGGATGTGCAAGCTGCACTGATTAAAAGCAGGTGCAGCATACCTGGATGACAACCTCCATCCCAAAAGGACTTTTGTGGTCTATGTTTCTCATAAACAAAATTGAATTCCTAGGAGATACTTTATCTTTTCTCTGTTGTCAGTGATGTGTAACTTCAAAGTCTGTTCCAAATACTTGAGAAGGAGAGTGGACAATATAATATAAAATTGGAGATTTTTCAAAATACTTAACAGAAAAGCAAAAAAGTTCTGCCCTTGAATGTATTATAAATTACATATGCCATGGTGATTTAGCAGTTTGATGTATTCATGAAATCCATAGAAAAGGTTCCCCTAAAGCATAGGGCACTGAGCACATACTGATTTGAAGGTATTTCCATACTATTTACTTTTCACAATTGACAACGAAATGAAAATGTATTGTTGATTAATAAACAAATAGACTCACTTGTATGGAAGTATATATGGATTTTCCTTTAGGATTATCCTGTAAATTGAAAGAAAAAGAAAAGCAACTAACTTTATTTCTATCATTGCTTTTTTTATGTTCCAATAATAATTAATTTTTATCTCCTGTTCCATTTTTCTGCATTCTAAAACTAGTGATTTGTCTAACATTTAGTATCTAATATCTGATTCATTTACAATGCCAACTTTACATAGTAATTAATTCTGCTATGGTAAGATATTTGTTTTCCCTGTCATCGCAGTTGAGATATAAATTTTATTTCGGATTGAAACACAAAGCAAACCAGAGCTAAATGAAAACTATAAGTTTATCTTTATAGACACCAGGAAAAAAAAAAAAAAGAAATAATCTGAAATAAACTTTTCTTTTACATCTAATATTTTAATATTACAATAAATGTCACTGTATGTAATTGCAAATATTATATAAATATTATTTGGTTTTCTTTTAGATTAAAACATTTGGGACTGGCATGGATTAACATATATTTTAGGTTGTCCTCCATTGATAGCTAGAATAAAATTTGCTCATGTTGTTTGAATAGCCATAGCTACCACATAGACTGCAGACTATATCCTCTCTAATAGACAACTAGTTAGGTATTTTTGCAATTATTTTGCAATACACCATTTTAGAACAGTAATTAATTAATTAATCAAATAATCCAGACTTATTTTTTCAAATAATTGCATGCATGCTCATGTGGCATCTGGAAATGAGGCTTTTCAGCCTGGAGAAGAAAAGGCTCTGGGGAGAGCTTCTGGCCTCTTCCAGCACCTTCCAGCACCTAAAGGGTCCTGCAGGAAGGCTGAAGAGGGAATTTTCTCAAGGGTATGTACTGATAGCACATGGGGGATGGCCTTAAGATGAAGGAGGGTAGGTTTATATTAGATATTAGGAAGAAATTCTTTACTGTGCTGGTGGTGAGGCACTGGGACAGACTGCCCAGAGAAGGTGTGGATGTCCCTGGAAGAGTTCAGGGGGCTGAATGGGGCTCTGAGTAACTTGGTCCAGTGGAGTGTGTTCCTGCCATGGCAGGGGGATTGAATTAGGTGGTCTTTGAGGTCACTTCCAACCCAAACCATTCTAAGATTTTATAAAACAAGCTGCTGTCCAGGACACCTTCTAGTATCTGCAGTCAAGCTAAATTATGCACGGGGGTCAATCTAGGACAAATATTTGGCCAATGAACCCCTTGTTCTTCTTTCTTGGTGCAGGGGTAACCTGAAAGTTTTGAGTGAAGTGATTACAGAGCACTCTGGGGAAAGGTGAAGGGCAGGAAGTCCAGACGGTGTCTCCTCAGGCCTTCCAGTGAGAGGGAAAGGCTTGAGCAGAATTGCAGTCATCCAGCAGGTCAATGCCTGGCTGAATAACTGCTGTCACAGGCAGGGCTTTGTCTTCTGTGACCTTGGAATCCTTTTTGAGAAAGGGGGGCTGCTGGGCAGGAATGGGATACATCTCTCCAAGGAGGGTGATTGCATCCTTGCAAACAGGTTTGGGCAACAGGGCCTTCTGCTGTGTATAAAGGAGTGCCTTGCATGCACAGAGCTCTGTCTCGGGATAAATAATGAACCAGTAAGGGAATTTGTGTGTAGGCATCAGAGGACAGACCAGCAGAGCTGTCAGTTATAAGGCAATAAGTTTGGCAGAAGAAATTTTTATGGGTAAATCTTCCAAAGATATTATTATAGCTGCATCTGATAAGGGTCACAGGAGCCTACAGTGCTCAATTGCTGGAATAATTGCTGTGCCTTGACATAATTAGCTTGGTGAAAGCTGCTAATGATGATGAAAAATAACTAGAAAATTCAGACAAAGTATGAATTGAGTATTCTTTACAAAATGAATGTTACATATATTAAAGGTTATTAAAAAGTATGTATTGCTTTACTGCAATAGATTTTATTCTAATGTCAGGCAGAGTTTTCAATAATGTTTCTTTGTTACAACAGCCAAGTGATTCAGAGACGTAATGCTGTTTCACGGCAGTTACGCTAAGTTTGCAAAAAGATTTGTCTGTGAAATAGTAAACCCAACCCAGACGAAGAAATTCCAGAATGCCTTCAATCAGCTACTAAGTAGGTGGCCCAGACAACAAAGATTTTTCCTTTGTGGTCTCTGTCTGCCACCCTGTGGCGTTCCGGTGCAGTTCTGCCGCAGTGGTTACATCTACCCTTGCAGCAGAGCACAGCAATCTCATTCCTTCCGTGGTGCTGCCAAAAGACTTGTAAAGCCAAGGTCACCCCCCACCAACCTGTCTTAATCACACTGCCTTTCTGCTTTCTCTCACATTTATTTTCCTTTTGTTTATCATTATAAACCTTCAACTTTTGGACCAACAGGTGTGATGCTTATATCTGGATAAGCTATTTGCATTTCATACATGGAGATATTTCATTCATTTCTATTAACTCAAAACTGTTACATGAATGCACATTTCCCTTTTCACTCTTTAAAACCCACCCAGCTCTGGCCTTCCACAGAGATCCAGTTTCCACTGGAAATACTCCAATCCAGGGCAAATCCAACAAGTTTTAGTGAAAGAAGTGCCTTTTCTAAGCACTGTCACTAAGTTGTGATGTGTTTGAATCTTGATTAACCATGCTTCTCCTCTGGGACTGCCCCAGACATCCAGTGTATCTCCAGCAGTGTCTTACTCAAGGAGGTAGGGATTAAAAAAACCCAAACAATAGGCCAATATGGCAGGGCAGGATTTGGTATGGACCTGAAAAGCGCAGTCACAAAGGAAAAAGGTGCTATGTATGGGGAAGGCTACATCAGAGAAGAGGGACTTATTTACTTTTCACTCATGTGTATTGGTAAATGCAAATATATTAATTAATGTTAAGTGTAAGTGAAGACATCCTTACCTTATACTTTATGTTAATTTCATATTTGAAACACATGTCCTTGCTAGAATGACTTATTTGGGGTCGTTGCCATTGAATTATGCAATCATTTTTAATTTCATCACAGGTGACTGTGATATTTGATGGAGGCATGAGCTTTTCTGAAATGATATAACCAAGAATTCAAATAATTAAAATCACTTGATCTCTTTTTTATTTGATGAAAGAGAGTGAAATTGCAAGTAACACTTCTATGAGCAAAGATACTTGTTTATATCTATTTTTCTTAGGACCTGTTAGAAATAGTTTAAAGACCAATGTTTTCTAATTCATGTACACAGGATCATAGAAAAAAAGAAAAGGGACTAAGACACAAAACATGATATAGGAGCATACAAAGAAACAATCCCCTCCATTTATTTTTCTAGAGGAGTAAGGTAAAATACTGTCTTCTTTTTAGGAGACTTTATTACTGTGGATGAACTAGCTGCTGCTATCTCTAAAGTAAGAAATTTAAAGATCTTTTTTTCTCTAAGCCTCCTCACAATGCTTCCGTGACATGAAGGTTTCGCCTTCAATCTGTTGTGAACTATGCAGTTTATTCCCTCCTTGCAAAAGAAACAGCCATACAAAATTTAAGAAAGACACTAAATTTTTAATAGTCAGCCAGCTTCTTCATGCATTGCCCCTCACTTCACAGATGTAAGCAGAAGTATGAGGACCTTTATACTTTGATCATTGCCAATTACTTGATTATTGGAACAGCAGAAAACAGTCACTCATGGCAGAAAGGGTGACAAAATGGAAGAAAGTTCAATATGAGCTAGAATACTACTTTACATCAGTCGTTAGTGACAGGCCTGACCTGTTTGTGATGGGCTACTTTGTCGAAGAGCAGGTTGTTTTATCTGCCAAGCATGACATTACAGCTCAGTTTCTTCTTCTAGAACAAAACCTTTTCTGTTCAATCTTTTAGCACAATACCAGAACCAGTGTGACATTTCCAGTGAGATTTTGCTGCAGAAACAGTGACAGCACAGGATGCTTTCAAGTACAGCAGCCATGCCTAAGGTATGTTGTACATGTCTTAATTCATTTACTCCAGGGTACAGTGTCCTGTATGTTATCTCCACTGGCAAAGAAAAGCAGAAATTAGTGCTCAGATAAACTTCTAAAATATCGCCTCTCTCTTCTATTGAGAGGTGTTTGGCCATCACTGACAGGGCAGCAAGGAAAAGTACAGTTTTTTAAGACTTGTGGACTTTGCTTGAGAAAAACCTATAACTTATAAGGGTAGATTGCTAAAGAACCTGGGACATAATGCAGCTGTGAGATTTCCTGTTTGATTCCCCTCTTTGTTTTTTGCCTGGGGAATAGGTTTCCTTGAGGAAGCCACAGCCTCTTACTCTCAACTCTAGGTGAGACAGGGTACAAAGCTCCTTCTCAGGGATAAATGCCCTACTATTTTCATACAGACATTGAAATAAAGATAAAATAAATCATTGACTTACCAATTTTATACAGGTCAATGTATTCATCATAGAACTGGATCAGGGAGTTGTTGCTAGACCCATTCACCAGGAAGTAAGCTTTTTCAATCCCTATGCTCACGTTTTGGAAGATGCATCCCACATTTCTGAAATTTTCATCTTTAATGTAAAGCTCACATTCCATCTCCTCTTCATCTCTGCATACAGCAAAGTATTTTAGTTAAACATGAGCACTGTGATGTACTGAGCGAGAATTCAGACTTCCCTGTCTCAAGCAGACCTACTTACCTTGACTGCTGCCAGTAGAGAAAATACTGTGTGTCTGCTGGAGCATCCCTTCCTGCCTGCCAAGTGCAGTTCATGAGGAAGATGTTATAAATCACACAGGAGAAGTTTTCAATGGCTGAGCCCTTCATGCCTGCAAACACAGGAATATCCATGGTGAGGAATATTCATGTGAGTCCTCCAAGCTGGAGGATCATGGCACACACTCAGCTATGTTAGACACCTGCTGCTATTGCTTGGTTTGAATGGAATGACTTGGTTTGAAAGGAATCACTCATTTCATTTTGTTTTCTAACACTGAAAGATATTTGCCCTGATAGATGCAATGAAGAAATTTTTAGGGGTAAATCCCCCAAAGATGTGATTATAGCTGCAATAAAACAATGTGTGTGGGAAAAAGAGCTGGTGATCTCAGGAGCACTGCATAAACTTTATAGACTTACATTGGATGGCTGCTATTTTAAGGTCTAAAGATTGTTTTTCTATCTGCTATATACAAAGTCAAGGGTGAATAGGGGTCAGGCACATGGGTAAAAACCTGCCAGCAAAAAATATAAAAATAGATCACAGCAATATCTATCAACTCAAGTTACTCAATGCTGAATGTGATAAGTTTGCTGAGGGTGTTAGTTCATGTGCTTTCAAGGATGTAGATCAGATACAAGGAAGAAAACATTTACTGTGAGGGCAGTGAGGCAATAGAACAAGTTGCCCAGAGAAGCTTGGATGCACCATCCTTGGAAGTATTCAAGACTGGGTTTGTTGGAACATTGAGCAATCAGGTGTACTCGAACTCATCCCTGAAGGGGCTGGAACTAAGTGATCTTCAAGGTCCTCTCCAACCCAAATCATTCTGTGAATATGATTCTATGAGGAACAGTCTCTCACTTCTAAAAATTCAGTATCAAACCCAGTAAAATTCAAAATTGTGTCTAGGATCTTTCTTAGCATGCAGCAGATAGTTTTGTTGTAAAAAAAAACTTCATTTAACTTAGTTCAGTATATTCCTCTGGCAGCTTTTTAGATTTTGTCTCCGACAACCAGACATCCCTCCAGTCTTGGACTTCCTAGAGACTCAGTAAATACCTCAGCAAACAAAACAGTTGGAAAGAAAAAGACAGACCTACCTTTCATTTCAAAATGTCTTTGCCTCGTTTATCTTTCTATTACAATTTTCAGGTTCAGAGAAGATGGAAAGACTATATTTTAAAAGGCTGTATAACTATAAATAGGGCTGTCTCCCTTGCTGCTTGTGTTTTGGGGAACCATCTTAGCATCGGAAGTGTTGCAAAATAAATGTTCATCACTTCCCCCCTGATTCATAGCAAATTTTGTAATTGCCCAACTCGGGGTTTCTTATAATGTGAACAAGAAGTTAGCTGGTTAAATTTCCCCTTTTGTTGCACCAGAGTATGGTGGTGTTTGGTTATCCAGCAAGTGCTTAAATTTACAGGTGTTTCTCTCTAGCTCTAAACAATACGGAGGAGTATAAAGCATTTCTCCATACAAAACATCTCTGGGGGATGGAAGATGGAGATTCTCCATGGAGGGCATCAGGGTGAGGCCTGGCAGTCCCAGCCCACCCCACCTCCAGCCCAGATCAGGGCAGCTGTGGGCCCAAGGCAGCCTCGGCCCTGACCACCAGGCGCCTCCTGCGGGACTGGGATGGGCCATGGGCCTGAGGGTGGGCCCAGCTTGGCAGGGGCCGTGTCCAGGCAGGGCAGGGTTGGGGGAACCTGGAAAACGGCCCTGCTGTGGCACCACTAGGCAGGGGCTGATGGATCCCGGGGGCTGATGTGGGGGCCTGCGCTCTGGGCATGGTGGGGGAAGCTCCAGGGACTGGGCAGGGAGAACCAGGTCTGTGGGGGTTCCCAGGGAAATGACAGTGTAAACTGTAAATGTTCTTTAAGCAGATGGAAAAAGGGGATTTCAAATCTTGGATATGATGCCTTCAGATAAGATAAATCACTACTAGAAAGTGTGATGTGCATTTGTCCTCATTTCATTTCTCCCGATGTGAAAATAGCCAAACTACAAACTGCCACTAAAGCAGAAAAAAATTGCAGGTAGTAAGCATCCAACTACAAACAGCCACTCCAGCCCCTGCTCTTGGGCATTTATTACATTCTTGGGTCACTGCTGTGCATTTTCGAAAGAAGAGAGTTATTATAAACAGCATAAAACATCAAAAGCTCCTTTAAAACCTGAAAGGCTTTGTTTCACAGAAGGCAATGTAATTTGCTTAATATGGAGATTTAAAATCCATGTAAAGTAATTTCATTTCTTCACATTGAAATTGAAGCATGACTAGAAAATATGACTGTTTTCAAACATCAAGATATGTCAACATTTCCCCTTAAAAACATGCAGATTCTTTCTTCTTGGAAAAGAACACTTCCATTCCTTGGCTACTATATATGGCCTTTATATTATATAATATATATAATATATTACAATTGTATATACAATTATATATATAATTATATTTATATACACACACACATACATATATACATATATAAAATTGCCTTTATCAATATGCTGAGGTTATTCTAATCCTATAGCTTCTTTATTGACATATGGAATGATTTAACCACATCAGCAGTGGTTCTTATGTATCAGCTATTCACAGATGACTAGGAGGATATAGTTATGTCCAAGAGAGGAAGCCAAAGGTAGCTCAGTGCTGTCTTCCCTGGAGACAAAAAGGGCTTACCTTCCAGAGACCCCGAAATGACCAGGCTCATGAGTATTTCTTCTTTCTGGATTCTGGCTAGGGTGTGAGATTGGTGACTGATGAACTAGAAGTAGGCAGTCATTTTCTGGGTTCATGATCTCATGTTGACTGTAAATATTAGTTACACTGAGTTATTGCTGAGGCTAAGCAGCACCACAAAGAGGATATCTGACATGGTGTCTTCTCCTCAACACATGTATTGTAAAGTGAACAGGTGTAATGAAGCAAGTCTACTCATCATGTTGGAAACTTTTTAACTGCAAAATTATTTTCTACCACAAAAAAGAAAAAAAAAAAAAAGAAAAGAAAAGAACCTACCTCACTTCTACCTCACTTCTACTCCCATGCAGTATTAAAAGCATAGAGCAAGCCATGAAAAAAGAACTGATGTGGCACTCTGTGGTTGTGTTCATGCGTTTAATCACATCTGTTAACACCTGGATGTTAACTGAGGAGATGAACAACTCGCTTTGAGCATCCAGAACTTCAGTCATCCACAGAATCAAGAATCATGAGAGAATCAAGAGGGCCTTGCCTGGTCTTTTGTGGTTTCAGAGGTAAAGGCCTAAGGCAATGTTGGCTCTATAAGGACCAATTCATGGATGTTCACTCTCTTCATATGCTAGTAGAGAATAAAAATGTGACAAAGTTTTTCTGAAGCATATCTAAGAGACAAAGGGTGGGACTGACAAGCATGTATATATAGATGGATATTCTACCAAAAAAGCAGATTTAGTCAAATACTTAGCTCATTTTGGTGAGAATCACTATTACTACTCCTATCACATTATAGATGTCAACATACAAAGCAAGTGAAAGCTTGGACATCAGGTCTGAGCCCATAATAGTTGTTCAGAGGTAAAAGCTGCCCAGTTTCAGAAGTTTCACTGTACTTCCAGGTTAAATAAATTCTATACGTAACCATTTACATACTTTTTTGAACACTGACTGTACTATAAAGACAAAATAAAGAACTTTGGATCACAAAAAATGTAAAACCCCACAGTTTATTGTGTCCTCATCTTTGGAAGAAAACACTCAATTTTGTGGTGGTAACAGACTGCATTTTGTGGAGAAGGGGAGTGACAAGTACCCAAGTAGTAAAATCAGAGCCATAAGAAATGTCATGGAGAGTCAAATGGGACTCTGGAAAGTAAAGGAAGTCAGAATTTTTGGTTTGCCTGTTTTTCCATGCTCCCACTCTGAAGATCCTTTGGGCCTGCAGAGAAGGCAGCAGGGAAGCAGTGTGCTTTTGCATGCTCTCAGATTATGTATCTCTGAAACACAGTGAGGAAGAGTGGAGTTTGAAGTTTTGATTTGGCTACTTTGTCTTTAAACTGGAATTACTGCCGCAGAACAATCCAAACAGCCCAGAAGGACAGTGGTGTTTTTGCAGAAAAGGGAACTGTTCTACCCAGGGGATTTCTTTTCTTGTCTATATTTAAGCAAACTCCTTACCTAAGGCTTTCAAAAATGCAAACAAATTAAACACATTTAAAAATTCTCAAGCAAAGAGGGTGCTACTAAGGGTGCTACCAAAGTCTGTCATCTTTCAGAGACCAGACAACTTGAGTGGCCTTGATATCACCTAGGACTTAGAAGCAAAATGAGGAGAAAGAGGAAAAAGAATAAAAGGGGAGAAGGAAAACGTGGGCAGAGACACTAGGGCTGTTTACAGACTTTTGGCTCAACAGGGAGTGAAGTCATTGCAGAAACAGTATCAAACCAAACACTTCTTAGAACTCAGAAACACTTGAAGAATAATTTATTGCTCCAAAAAAACCAGGAGTGTTCATAAGAGCTGTCTGGTGTTTTGCTGTACTGGTTGCAGATTTTGCATATGTCACAAAAATACAAATGGTAGACAAGACCATTAATTTTTTCCTTGCATCAAGCAATTTCTAGTTTTTAGCACAGAACAGAGGAATAGCCATAGGAGACCAGAATAAAGGACTTCTTCCTGTGTGAGCATCCAAAGCACTTAGTTAAAAGATTCTAAAGCCTGACCATCCTTTCCCACTGATTTTGGGGTCTTTGCCCAGGGATGGGAAAGTGATACCTTAGTTCCACACCTACTGCCACCTCCACTGCTTCATGGATATGGTTTATGGTTTTCTTATTAGTGTGCTGGTAGTGGACGAGTTTTCTAAATGCCTTTTCTGTCTCAGCAGCTTTCACAGTGAAAGCAGTGGGGATGTAAGGGGTGCACCAATGGCCATGATCAACTCTGTGTGAAGCAAGATGGAGAGAATCCAGTAGAATCTGTTTAATTGTCCTTAGATTACAGTGAGTATTGGCTTTAGTTTTCCCATTTAATTGCAGGTGCTTTTATCTTTTGGCAATTATAACTTAAGTAGAAGGATCCTTTTCTGGTTCTGTTTTAAAAGACATTAAAAATATTTTTTTTATTGAAAGCTCATTTAGAAACACAGAACCATAAAAAAATTTAGTTCCAAAGATGGTCTCTTGACAGTAACCTGGTCTAGTGGAATTTTATCACTGAGAAGACTTTATTTTCTATGACAGGATTTCAGTTACTTGAGATGACTTTAACCACCTTGAGACTTGATGGAATTATAGAATACCCTGAGTTGGAAATGACCCACAAAAGTAATTGACTTCCACTCTCGGCCCTGCTCAGGACAGCCCCAGGAGTCACACCATGTGCCTGAGGGTGTTGTCCAAATGCTTCTTGAACTCTGCCAGGCTGCTGCTGTGACCACTGCCCTGGGGAGCTGTTCCAGTGCCCAAACACCCTCTGGGTGAGGAACATTTTCCTGACACCCAACATAAGCCTCTCCCGACACAGCTTCAGGCCATTCCCTGGGTCCTGTCACAGGTCACCAGAGAGAAGAGATCAGTGCCTGTCCTTCTGCTTTCCCTCACAAGGAAGTTGTGACTGCAATGAGGTCTCCCCTCAGCCTCCTCCAGGCTGAGCAGACCAAATGGCCTCAGCTTCTCCTTAAGGCCCTTCACCATCTTTGCAGCCCTTCTTTGGACCCTGTCTAATGGCTTTATATCTTTGTTATGTTGTGGCACCCAAAATTGCCCCCAGCACTGGAGGTGAGGCTGCCCCAGTGCAGAGCAGAGCAGAGCAGTGCAGAGCAGAGCAGGACAATGCCCTCCCTTGCCTGGCTGGCCATGCTGGGCCTGATGTAGCCCAGAACAAGGCTGGCCCTCCTGGCTGCCGGGGAAGGACTGACTCATATTCAATTTCATGCAAAATGGAAAGTTAAAATATGTGATTAGCACCTAAATTGAGGGCTTTCTCTCATATCTCCTTATTAGTTGGAGAATTCAGGCTGTTATGCTTCTGTTTCATCCAGATGTTATAAAAACACATAACTTGCCTGTACCACAATTAGCAAATGACAGGCTTCTGCTGGAGAGTTCAAATGCTCAATTTCCAACATTTCCCACTCAATACATATACATATGTACATCTGCTACCTATTAGCAATCATATATTAAGTAATTTTTTCCTGTCTAACACAGATAGGAAGGGATGAAAAACAGGAGGCAACAAATAGACTTAGGAGAAGATTGTATCCAAAACTCTTTATAGTACTCCTTTGTATGAGCAAGTAATCTTAAGAGGTTTGATCGTGGCTTCATACAGCGAGCTTTCATACAGATGTCAAATTTCATTCCTGATCACAATCTCAGTATGGCTGTACCTTTTTTGAGACACTGAACCAATGGAGATCCTGAATAAACCCCTTAAGTTTAGTTGTTCTTAATTATTCTTTTGCATGTTGTTGAAAAACAGTAAAATAGCTTCCAAAGCAATACTGAAATATTTTTTCTGAAATACTGTAGTATTCATCATAATAAAACCCAGAAATAGTCCAAACTTTTCTGTTCATAGAAAATGCAACCAAATACAAGGAGGCTTTTAGAGATAAGATCTTGGGGAATTGTCTTTACAGCTGATGCTCTTCTCCCTGCTTCCAGGAGTGAGAGAATGTGAAAAACCTCTTAATTTTTGCCAATAAGGTATATATGCTAGAAAAAATCAAGTTGCTCATTTCACTTGCATTCCATCACTTCTTCAATATTTGTTATTTCTTCAGTTCCTTGTTTTTTTAATAGATTCGTATATTCTGGCTATTAAAGGAAGAATATAACATTTTGTTAGTTTTTCATGCATGAGATTTGTCACAAGGTCATGATTTATGAATCTCCTGTCATTAAAATCTATTATTTATTGTATAAAACCTGTAGCAGGTTTTGTACAACAAAGTTAAAAGACCAAGGTACATATGTCTGGATGATCCCTCCATATAGCTCCCAAAGAGGAGCAAAGACTTTTCAACTAAACAGCTGGAAAAATCATCTTTTAAAATATAGAAAAGTTAACATGATAAAGGAAGAGAAAATAAAAGTATTTATAAAGGCTCAAGTAATTCAGTGTATCACTGCAGACAAATTTTGTCTTCCAGACCTGTCTGCAGCCAACCTAAAGACTTTGCAAATTGCAGAAAACTGCAGTTCCTGCAGTGTTTGTCTGTTTGTTGCTTCTCACAAGCCAATTCCAGCGTTCCACATAAGTTAGGACCTCTCAACATTCTGCTCTACTTTCTTGCTTACCATACCCTAGAAACTTTTATCTCCTTCAGCATCATTGCCAAGTACTAGCATGGCAAAACTAATGAAGATTTCTTTGCCCCTTCTCTCCCTGCTTGCTGCTGCAGTATTATTCTGCTGAGAAACTTATGCTCAGCATTGTTTTAGTGATAGCACATGGCTTATAGGGACAGCAGGGTGAAACTGCATTTTCCCCAGTGCTCCAGGTAGACAGATGACAATTATTGCGTAATGGAAAAGGTAAAACAGACAAATTATTTGTGTGTGGACTTTCTTTGTCCATATCCCAAGAGGGAGAAAAAGAAAGAAAATTGATTCTTGTTTGTGTGCATCTTTCTGACAGTTAGGTCATACCCTTGACACTAAATTTTTAAATTTCAGGCAAATGGGAAGAAAGCATACCTGGAAGTCCATTGGAGAAGGCTCACGGAATGGGTCTCTTGGCTGTGGTACTGCAGCAGATGTTTTTTTGAAATAAGCCCTTCTACAGTGACAAAAAGTTTTGGTAAAGAAAATACTTAGTTTGCAAACACATGAACACATACTATATAATCATACTCCTGAGGTACTATTTTATTTCTCTAAGACATAAATAGTATTCTTCTAATTCAAAAGTAGCTAAAAATTACATAGGCTGAATACAATATTATAATTTTTTTTAAGTATGTGAAAAGGAAATGTTGTCAAAACATGAAAAAAATTTCATGTACCATCCCTCAACATTGCAGGGTCTGATGGTAGGAAAGAGGTACTGATAAAAGGCCTTGGACCAGTATTGGAAAGCATTGTGTTATCTTAATCAAGTGGATAAGAAAGTTGGGAATCAGAAGTATAGAGCATACTTGAGGAACATCCAGCAGATGATTCCTAGTATAGCTCAGTGTTGATTTTCTCCCTTCCTTGTCTCCTTTAAAAAGAAGCCAGAAATTTTCTGTTGGAGGAAGAAGTATTATTTTAACTATAGAATAAAAATTTTGCACAAGAAATAAGACTTACACTGTCATGCAAAGGAGAAATGTGAGACCTGCTGCCAGGCTTGGTATCAGAAACAGCATATATGATGAAGTAGACGTAAATTGTTGTGTTCCTGAAAACCAAGCAATCATCAAAGTGTTGGTTAGCTTCACAGGGCATGAATGATTGCATGGCTATGTGCAATTTGCCTTGCATCAGGGTGTCAAACCCTCCATGAAGGGATGACTTCTTTAGCTCAGACCTCATTGCCCTGCACCATGCAAAGAAATAGAGTGGCTGAACAGTACGTGGGCTGTCAACAGGAACTGGAAACCTGAGGAACTGAGTCCTACAGAGTATTTAAATATCCAAGGTGGCAGAGAACAACAGCAGGAAAAAGGAGATTGTAAAGTCAGGAGCAGAGATGGAAGAAGTAAAACAGCTGGTAACAGACTTCAAAAAGGTCTGCTTCATTCACTATCCCTGTGCAAGAAGCACTGCCTCCCAAGAATTATTGGAGAACCCCCCAATAGTAGGAGACATGGCAATTCTTCGACTCTCTTTGTCCTAGCAAATTAATATGCAATTATTAATGTGTTTCCATCTGTAAGCATGAAGTAAAAATAAGGTAGACAGGTAACAACTGAACAAGGTCAAGGAAAGGATTTTTATTCTTACCAAACTCCACAGGTGTACTCCACTCTCCCCAGTTTGAGCTTACTCTACAAAAGCCTGCATCTGCTGCTCTGATTTTGACGCTGTACCTTTTTCCTGAGCTGAAGCTTTCATATAGGTAGGAGTCATTTTCAGTGATTTCTGTCTAAATGCAAAATAAGTAGAATGAGATTTTTTTGCATTATTTTTCTATAATTACAATAAAATTTTATATTTTACATTTATATAATGTTTCTGTGAACAGACTAGAATGAAATAATTAGTAGAAAATATCACTTAGTAAGTTAGATTTTTTCATCTTAGCTCCCCTTGTTTGAATACTTTTGTTATTGGGTAATATGAAGATGAAATTTGCTGTATGTTTCCTTGGCTCCTTAGACTCTGCTAAGCAATGGGACTTTAGGAATAAAAATTCTTTAACGATCTGGCAGGGGTATTTTCAAAATTGAGGTAGAGTTTGATAGCCAGATTATATTTTTTTTCTGCCATCTTTATATTGGCCTAATCTTTGAGGTAATATTTTCTTGCCTTTTACATCTCAATTCTTTCCAGAAAGTATTATAAAAGAAAAAATCCCCACATTTTTTTTGTTACACAGAATCAAGATCCATATTTTTACATTTATATGAATCTGTTAGGAAGTAAAAAAGAATGTAAAATGGAAGATTTTTGTGGAGTAATATCAAAGTTCCCATGTGCAGGTGTTTTCACATCAACTTTTATAAACAATAGTTTAAAACTTCAGATTTAGAAAACTTATCAAAAATAAGCATATGCAGTACTTTGAAACAGATAGTGTGAAACCAAACCAATTTGTTTGGGGGATGCTCTGATACAGAAGAAATTTCAATATTTTAGATTAATACAGACTTACTGTTTTAGATGCAGTTTTGGGGTTTTTCTCAGCATCAGCCTAGCAACAAGGGAAAAGTTTAATTTTTAAGATTATTCTTTTGTTACTGTATAATAAAGGGTCTTCTCTCATGGATGTTTGATTTTCAGAAAGAAAAATTGTATGTAGTATTTTAAGTGCCTTCTTTTAAAGAAGGCATTTAAACTGTGAAATTTAGGCTGTTCTTCCACTAAGTGGTTTTTCCTCTCCATTGATGTCCTGAAATGTTGCACCATTTCAATATGATTATAGAATTGAGCATCAAAGCACTAAACAAAAGAAAAAAGGCTCAGGTTGACAAAATGTTTACATTTTAATTTTTAAAACAAAATATCTAAAATTTACAAACCATCTCAGACAATGTTTTTTCCATTGGTTTTTTTGCCTGTGTATCTTTTGCTTTCTTAAACATTTAATTTAGCTAAGTTATGTTTCCTTTCTTTTTTTTTTTTTTTAATTTTTCATTGTTGGAACACAATAAGCTCAGAAATATTTTGAACTTTATTTTTGAAGTATACAATATTACTTTCCATATTCATTCAAGCTTTCAAAAGGAGGGGATGAGAACAGGGTTGTATGGTGTTAGGTGTAGAAATAGAGAGAAAGAAAATGCTGTTAAATGTAACAATTATTTTTACCTTGTTTTCTATGACAATTTCATATTTGAAACAACTCATGTTTTCCACATGACTTGTGCGAGGTGGCTGCCACCAAATACTACATCTACGAGAAGCTTCTGTACAGTTCACTGTGACATTTAGTGGAGGCGTGAGTTTTTCTACAATAATATAACCAGAAATACTATTGATTAGTAATAGCTCTCTTCACTCTCTCATTTTAAAAATATAGGTAGATGTTCAAGCAACTGATCTAAAAAAAATGCAGCTTCAGCAGAATTTCTATATTGTTCCCATATTCTGAAGCGGGACTCCTGATTTAACATTTCAATTGAGAAGCCTGGAGCAAGAGCTGCAACAGTAAGGAAAACTAAAAACACAAGCCATTTATTACATTTTACTGAATTCAGCATATGATTTCTGAAAGTTTAGTTTTATGTCTTGGATTTAAGGGTTTTTTTAAAATACTATATTCAAATTAAACAATTTTTTTTATTAACATTCTTCCATTAAAAATGGGAGCTTTGCTCACAGCATTAAGGTAACTGTTTCTTTTCACTATGTGGATGAATAGCATTGCTATCCATATTAAGCAATAATAAGAGATAATAAGAGATAATAAGACCAACATCTAGATAGTCCCCCTCAGGGATCCTTAGCTAGTTAATTCTAAAAGATGACACCTTTCTCTCAGAATAAATATTTGATAGAAATGTTCAAAATTTTCTGACCTATGATTCCAGATTGTTTCTGTATTCATTAGTTTTTGTCCATTCTTATACTTTAGGGCTGAGAAAAAGTGAAAAAAACTCAAAACTATTATGGGGAGAAATATTTTTTAAATGTATGCTTTTTCCCAGAGATGAATTCTTCTTTCTTTTAAGATATAACTGGAAAATAAATTTTAAAAAATGCTTACCAATTTTGTATAGCTTTATGTAATCCTCATATGACTGAATGCTTTGTCCGCTTCTGGACCCATTTACCAGGAAATAAGGACGATTATCTTTTATTGTCACATTTTGAAATCGACATCCTATGTGCCTTCCATGGGTATCTTTGATGTAATTTTGGCATTCTGTGACATTTTCATTCCTTTACAAGAAATATTGAATCAATAAAACATTGGCAATGTCACATGTCCAACCACAAATCAAAATTCCCAATATTCAAGCAGACCTACTTACTTCAAGGACCCCCAGTACAGGAAATATTGGGTGTCTTCTGTAGCAGTCCTGCCCACATGCCAGGTGCAATTCATGAAGGAAACATTAAAAATGACACAGGCAAAGTTTGAAATGGCTGTTCCATTCATGCCTGCAAACACAGAAAGAATACCCCATGTCCACTCTGCAGAAAGACTGAATAACTCCTCAAATAACACAGACGGATCTTTGTATGCTCGTTTAGCAATTTTTTAGCTACCTGCTTGGCAAATCTGACTGTGCACAGTTTTGGTCTTGTAGTTTTGTCCTTACTTGAAGATGGCAATGATTTTATTTCTGTTGAGCCATGAGGATTATCTGTCATGGTTCCAGAAGCCATAGATGTGACTGGAATTTAACTGAGTCTTCAATCAACTCAAACACAGGGATTTATTGGAAGTTAATAACAGAGACAGTCACCATGGTGTCCTTGTTTAGACCCCCAGTTAACTGAGGCCCAGTCTAGAATGGAATGCAAATCCTACAACCATGAGCAGAGTGGCAAAATTCTCTCTGCTGCTCTTGTATTAAGCACTCTGACCCTTGGTTACAAAGCACTAAAAATTTAAATAAGATGTCCACCACTTTCTTCTGTGTGACAGCAGGCTGGTTACAATCTAACCCTGAGACTGTTTCCTGAAGATAATCCCTGCAGAAGTGTTGCAATTTCAAAGAGAGAATGGTGCATTTTTCAATTAGGAATTGAAACTAGCTATTAATCTCTTCCAAGTACCTTGGATTCAAGGATAGGGGGAATCTTATTAGCACTGAACATGACAGAAACAGGCCTGAATATCTGCATAATTAGTGTAAAATCAAGACAAAACTGAAGCAGAAGTTTACACCTTGCTTAAGTTAACTTACAATCTGAATTAATTCCTTGTGTGTTTCTCCCCCACCAAAAGGTGAGATCTCCAACAGGAAATGATGAACATTCAGTACCTCAACAGCTATCATTGTGAATTGAAGGATTGGTCCACAGCTTTCCAAGACTAACCCAACCACTGTTAATTGAGTTCAAGCACCACATCCACAACATTTGCATTTATCTCTCTAGTTAGCCCTAAAACTCCACATCTGATTCTTACATCTTTGGAAATAAAGAGAAATTTTTAAACATATGAAAAAGTTGTCAAAGTACTACTGAATTTCTGGAAATATTTCTCTCTTCTAAGAGAAAGCTTGAAACTTTTTCAAGAGCTTGGTTCAATGGCAGTGTTGGCCTAAGCATGCCCTGTCCTTTCGCATCCTTCACTGATCCTTCCTGATTCCATCCTGCCCCCCTGGCTGTGCTAATGCCACTTCTTGTGGGGCCTGTAGTGAGCAGGTTTGAACAACTGATCATCATTACAACTAATGCTCCTCTCAGCAGTTGTTTTCTTTTTGGTTGTTTTTTTATCCTCTATCAGAAATAGTGGAACAAGCTTGTCTGAGATGAAAGTGTGGGCTAGCAACTAAGAGAAAAGCTCTTGCTTCAGAGACACTGATATTTTTCTGCCTCCAGTTTATACTGAGGAATAGCTAAATTTTTCTAGTGTCTTTTTGCTTAACCACACCTGTTTGAAATGCCCCATATTTGTCACTTGCATATGGTTATTTCCTTAAAAAATGGTAGGACCATAATCTTATTAGTCTTTTCTGTGAACACTGATGCAAAAACCATTTTAGTTTCTCTATATTGTACTTATCCTTCTGAACTGCCTCCTGTATTATCTGATGATGATAGTAAAATACATCTGCAAGTATATTAATGTCCTCTGAAGCATACTTTATTTCAGACACAAATAACTCATTTTCACATATTTTGCTATCTTTAGATATATTTTAAATGTTTGAAATTCTTTTCATGAAAGAGGTAAGATACTTAATTGAAATGTGACAATTATGATTGCATGCAAATGCATAACAATCCACTGTTTCAAATACCTAGAGTGTTTTCATTTATTGGTTTGTTTATGTCTATTTTGTCAACTTAGATTATCTCCATCTCTTGGGCAGATATCAGAAAAAATGTAGGTACCTTAGCTTCAGAAAAATATCAGAGAGAAGAAAATTTGGCTCTGCAACCATTTGTAGTTACCAACACTACTAGCAGGGAAGGACAAGATCTCACCTTTGGGTCCTGAGCCCAAGAGAATTCTTACTTTGATTCACTCATTCTTCAGTTAAAAAATGCATAAACTGTTGAATCTTAGACATAATTGACCAGATACTTTATAAAAGATGTTAAATAACAAACTTGATGCTGGACATAAAAAATATTAAAAATTTTTAAAGAGTAATTAAATTACTTTAACCTTTCCATCTAACTCTGAAGATGCTGTTAGGTGTGAGGTGGAGTAAACCTACCAAAAAGCTGTATAGATGCTCACAGGGGAACCAGTAATTCTATACTGCCCTAACACTGCCTAGAAAAAAACCCAAAAAACAGCTACTTTAGGCCAGTTTATTCAATCTAGTCTGGGACAAGATGAATGAAGGTTTCACCATGTTTACTTTTTGCAATGCACCAAAAATATAGCCCAGAGTAACCTCTCTAATTCTGAGCTATCCACCTTTGTCAGCTAAATCCAAGAGGATTTATTCCTTTCCTTTCTTACATCATCTGGAATTCACATGTAATTTCTAAACAAAAAACTGCCTGTATTATTTTTCTCAACTGAAAATTTATTATTAAAATGTCTTTTTCTCCTCATTCTTATATCTGTGCAAGTATCAGAGCTGCTTATCTTTAGAAAAACAGTTGCAGCAGAGCAGTACTATTTTCCCCAGAGAAATCTTTCAAACTTCCTTCCACAGCTCAAATAGATCCTGTGCAGATAATTTATGAAAATCTTTAGGAAAGTCAAAGTATTTCTATGTGAAGTTGTTTCCTTTCTGTACTGTAGTTTATAAAGTTTCTATGAAAATTGGCTACTGCTAGACTCTGTGCTACAGCACAAGTTGTTTCTCGGAGAAGCCTGAACCCTAACACCCTTCCACAGGGGATAGTTATGTCAGGGATTCAAAAGCTGAAATGCTGTTGAAGTGTCTACTCTCATCTAGATTGATTGGAAAGGTGGTTAGATGAGAATAAAAACTGTCCAGTAACCTGCTGATTATGAGTAATGCAAAGCCATATATTTTATCATATTTTGATCTCACTATGATTTTTATAGCCAATGTGAAGGAAGGTTTGTAACAAAAACCCAAAGCTTATACTTTGTTTTAATATGACTATATTTTGTTAAGGGAAAATCTGTGTTGAGTGTAGTACATTAAACTAGACCTCTGAGGTTCATTTCCCAGCTTTGCTCCTAAAAGATTTTGAAAGACATTACTGCCAGTTGGAAAATATGAAATGGAATTACTGCTTCCGTGTTGGATGTGATATGAGGGTAAGATTATGCCTGCATTCCTGCAGCTTTTTCAGGAAATTGTGTATGTGAAATCTAAAGTATTAAAATCATGAAAGAGAAAAGACACTTCCATTCTACTGGTGCCTAAATGCAGTATTTCTAAAAGAGTTCACTCTGTTTAGTAATTTTACTCTATGGATGAAAAGACCTAAAATCCAAACATTTCCAATTTGACTGTGTTTTCAAGAGACAGTAAAACAGGCTGTCCTCACAGTAACTCGGGCTCTCTCTCACAGTAATTCAGATTTAACTTAACAAACAAAATACTGCTATGTGGATTGCTGGAAACAGCAAATCTTAAGTTATAATCATACAAATATTTTCACATTGTAGAAAAAATATGCCATCAAAATATTGGCTAAGACATTCATCAGAGGAAAGCGGGCATTTGCTATCAGGTAGTTTCTGTCCAACCCTCACAGTTATTTAACATTAAAACTAGCAGAAATGACAAAACTCCGTATTTCTTTCCTAGCTTCTTTGGACTACAATAAAGGAGAAACAGAAAAGAAAATAGAAGAGAAAATCAGACAATACTAAACCTACCTTGTCCTTGAAAACCTGTTTCCCGTGGTGCTTACAGCAATAGAGAACAAGAAGGATAGAAACTATGACTTTGCCTTGGTGTATTTCTGCATGTTTTGACAGTGTGATCTCATTGCCTCATTTCCCTTATCCTCATTTCCGTTAAACCATGGGGAGCAGCAGGGTCCCTCCCGGCCTCGGGACAAAGGTCAGCATAGAGGGACACTCTCTTCATTACTTGATTCACATAATTTCCAGTAATTTGTCACACATTTTTCATGTAAATGTTTGCACAAGGCACCACCTGAAAGATAGATGAACATGGGTCTTCCTTCTGGCTCGGGTGTAGGTCAGCTATGATTGCTTCAAGCCATGGCACTGTTTTCTGCTTCTTGCCCAGGGATGCTGCCTGGTGCAGGAGTATCAGCTCTCTGCTCAGGTCTGCAGAAGAGCTGCTCCCAGCTTTGCACTGGCCAGCCTCATTCCCTCTAGGTGGGTAACAACCCATGTCACTGGTCTTGACAGCCTTCCTGCTTTGCATCCACATTTTTCTGGCTTGGGTGAATTCAATGCACAGATCAAGAAAAGTTTCTGTGTGTATGAAATGTCCTGAGTGTAATAAGCAACAGTATGTCACTTGTCTGTGCTGGTGTCCTGGCACTGAGAAGCATAGAACCTGCCTCCTCATGTACCCCATAGTACAGTCTGAGTACAGAGCCTCTTGTCTTCTTCATCTTTAATATTTTTTACAGAAAAATGAAGTTATTAAAGTAGAAAACAACATTTAAATCTCATTATTTATAATGTTCACTGAGTGCACTGCTTTTCAGTGTTATATCTCACTGCAAGACTGGTAAATCCTATCAAATCTGTCCTCCTTCTGTTTGTCTGTGTGTTGTACATCTTCACTCCCATCAGTCTTTGTTCTTGTTGTTCTTCTGGGCAGAGAAGGAATAGGTAGGGGATGGTTATTGAGATATTTCCTCTTCTTTACGTCTCAATTCCTCAATTTTACTCACAGAGTAAACAGCAAGACACTATCATGTACCCTGCTATGACATTTCATTTCAGGACCTGCAGAAGTAAGGACTTCTGATTGCTGCTCTGTAGAGGAATTGAAAGAAGTCTGCTGGAGCACTGTAATAACGCCGAGACTTTTGTAACTACTCAGTTTCTCTAATTCTTGA